CTCGTGAACTTTCTTTTACGATCTGTAATTTATATTTCAATGCAGGACTTTTTCGCCTCGTGCAGGATTTCCCTCGCGAATCCACACATAGAAGAATCTATGTTTTCATTACCTTATTGTACCCTGTGAATATATTCATTTAACCTCACGCAAACAATCGTTTGTTCATAGTTGAAAAACGCGTCACTGATAACGAGCAATCAATAAAATAATCTCATTAGGACACGGTTCAACACGTCAGTGAAAACCCTAAAAATGATCGAAAAAATGCTCAAAAAATTCTTCAAACATTTTGATGTTCTGTTCTTATCTTAACTTGAACGTTTGCCAATAATCGTAGCACAGACAGGACGCTGGAATGCAACTAGATACAACCACTAGCTGCACGAGAGAAATCTTAGAAGTTGTAGAGTTGGTGATTTATTTAGTCTTTGTGTTTGTTTTACTCGCGAATGGAAAGTTTAGTAGCCTGTTATCGTTCGATCGCAATGGCCAAATACCCTGAGGTGTTTGGCACGCGACGAAAACGCAATCCCTAACAAAGTGGATATATGTTAGTAAAGAAATTGGCTGTGTCAACAAAACACAGAATTCGTCTTATCTTGTATTGTCCACATTAATCTTAGATCGTTTTAATATTTTTCTATACTTTGTGAACGCTCGTCTCTTGAAACTATTATTGAGCAATACTCCATTTTTGTCAATGCATTATCTACCCTGTGATTTTAATGAGCTTTTGAAATGGATATTTGGTGTTGATATATGCTGTCTTGCAAAATATGGATACATATTTTGCTTGTGTTTCTTTTGTAACTGTTTGTATACAAACTACTTCAAAAGCCGGACATCCTAAAGGAATTATATTACGTTTATCTAGATACGTATATCTTTATCTATTACGGTCTTATATAGACAAAAACTGTCGAAAAACGGGCTTTCGTGAAAATAAAACTTTTACCTCGACCTTGATTGTCTGTCGGTGACCGTCAAGACGTTTCTGCGTTATTCGAGTTCAGCGCGCGACGCGTCGTATGCAAATCTCCCAGGATGTTGTTCTTGAGCATACAGTGACAACTAGTCTTTGCGTTGCACGGATGACCTTTTTATATACGTTTAATGTGATCAGGCGTTTGACAAAAAACTACTGCTGACCAATTTTATCTGCCGTCTTGCAGTCCTTCAGTGGGCATTGGAATATTCGCGCATTTGAGGAAGCACCAGCCAAATCACGCCACGACGAGTGATGAACTGTTGATAAAGCTCAAATAAGATCATGCATTATTAGACCACGTAACTAATATCGGGTCTCCATGACTCTCGTGAATCGAGGTTAGAAGATCGAGGAGCGATAATAAATTGCCCATTCACATTCATTTTTTATATTGTAAAAAATGGTTTGCGCGATGTCACTTGCCTACAAAGTTTTCTGTTGGAATTATAGCCCGAAAAATGCATTGTGACTTAAGAAGACCAAGAAAAGTTCAATGATTAACACGAAAGTTATACTCCCGTGTCGATATCTAGACGCTTGTTGCTAGGTGTTTGTTGTTAAGTGCTTAATGATAGCGGTTAAGACTGTACGGTGATAGCTTTTTATCGTTTTGTGTTTATTGCCATGTGTTTATATTACTTGATGATTGTTGCTAAGAGGTTGCTGCTTATAGTTTTACTACTACGAGTTTCTTTCTGTGTGTTTACTGCTTTGTGTTTGTTGCTAGGTGCTTCTTTGTTGTTGTTGTTTTATAGATGTTTGGTTGGAGTCACCTTTATGCTTGGTCCTAGATGTTCATATTTAGGTGTTCTTACCTGGGTGTTCATTAATAGGTGTTCTTACCTAGGTGTTCATTGTTAGGTGTTCTTACCTAGGTGTTCATTGTTAGGTGTTCTTACCTAGGTGTTCATTCTTAGGTGTTCTTACCTAGGTGTTCATTGTTAGGTGTTCGTACATAGATGTTTATTGTTAGGTGTTCTTACCTAGGTGTTCATTGTTAGGTGTTCTTACCTAGATCTTTATTGTTATGTGTTTTTACCTAGGTGTTCATTGATAGGTGTTCTTACCTAGGTGTTCATTGTTAGGTGTTCTTACCTAGGTGTTCATTCTTAGGTGTTCTTACCTAAATCTTTATTGTTATGTGTTTTTACCTAGGTGTTCATAGTCAGGTGTTCTTACCTAGGTGTTCGTTGTTAGGTGTTCTTACCTAGGTGTTCATTGTTAGGTGTTCTTACCTAGGTGTTCATTGTTAGGTGTTTACCTAGATGTTTATTGTTAGGTGTTCTTACCTAGGTGTTCATTGTTAGGTGTTCTTACCTAAATCTTTATTGTTATGTGTTTTTACCTAGGTGTTCATAGTCAGGTGTTCTTACCTAGGTGTTCGTTGTTAGGTGTTCTTACCTAGGTGTTCATTGTTAGGTGTTCTTACCTAGGTGTTCATTGTTAGGTGTTCGTACCTAGATGTTTATTGTTAGGTGTTCTTACCTAGGTGTTCATTGTTAGGTGTTCTTACCTAGATCTTTATTGTTATGTGTTTTTACGTAGGTGTTCATTGTTAGGTGTTCTAACCTAGGTGTTCATTGTTAGGTGTTCTTACCTAGGTGTTCGTTGTGGGGTGTTCTTACCTAGGTGTTCGACATCGAAGTTCGGAGACCGGGTTTGGATCATTCTTAGTTTTCCTTCATTCGACGTCGGGCTGCTGGCTTGATTGGCTTCATGGAGGTGACTACCATTACTACTACCTAGGTGTTCATTGTTAGGTGTTCTTACCTAGGTGTTCGTTGTTAGGTGCTCTCACCTAGGTGTTTATTGTTTAGTTTTTCTAGGTTAGGTATTCTTAGATAGGTGTTTATTCTTAGGTGTTATTTTCCAGGGGCCGGTTGCACGAAGCCTGGATATTGAAAATTTTCAAACTTGTAAAAAAGGTGTTTTAACAAAAACAGGTGTTTTAACAAAAAAAGGTGTTTTAAAAAAGGTGTTTTAAAGGTTTCTTACGACAAAGAAATTTTGTAATCTTCGAAACAATATTTTATTTCAGTGATTGCACAGTTCAAATCGTATTTTTTTTCTTACAAGCGATTTTATGAACGTTCAGAAAAATTTGCTATCCAGTGGATAACACTATCCAGGCTTCGTGCAACCAGCCCTAGGTGTTCATTTTTAGATGCGTGAATGATTCATGAAGTTAATGCTTGTAAATTACAGACCACAAACATTCTAATTTTTTTTAGAAATCTGTAGTTTTTACTGTGAATGAACACATATATGTTTGCAAAGTACGAACAAACTTTCGGTTGCATTTATTTTTCACAGTAGTTTCTTATCTCGAACCTCGATCCTCGCACATGGTATCTTACTTGCTGACAAATTCGAGTGCAATTTAACAGTTTTAGGTTACATGCGCAGTCAGTAAAGTAAAATTAGTTTTAGTCGATGGCATTTTATTGTCATTATCTCATTACGCGAAGTATTTTGTACTGATCGAGTTTCATCAAATGAATATTCCAAATTGGATTTGCACGTCAAATCCATGACATGTCCTTTGGCACGTCAATGCCGACTTATGTCAGGACGAACGAGGTAATGCCTTGCTTGTCAGACGCATGTTTGCCGCGTGTGGACTACGATAACAAGCGAATAATGATGTTTCAAGATATAAATCTGATTTTGCTACGATTAAGTTTATTCTAACTGCTCAAAGGAATGGACGTAAAAAGTTATTAATCTGATTGCTGTAATGACATGCATATAAAAAACAAGGATAATCCCTTTTTTCTAGTAAAAATAGTTCGTCATTAAGCCGGCGATTTGTCTGTTCGAGCTAGAGCATTCTGTTGCAACATTCCCTACGTGGAAATACTAGGAAAATACAAGAACGTTATTCTCGTTATGACGGATAATTTTAGTCACATTACATTCACAAGTCATGTTTGCTACATCAAGCAATTATCTCTCAAAAAAATAGTCCTACGCCTTTAAATACCGTGCATAGCAAAAGATAACTCGATCCACAAATGACTGGAACTGGCTAGTCCTTTCATTATCATAATTATTGTGACATGATAAGTTAAAGATAGTTGCCAAATCTGTTTCTTGCTTGCTCCAAGGAAGTTTGGCAAGCTTTCTTCACGTGCTTATTAAATCAATCAGCATTTTACGAGAACTTTAAAACCGATACAATTTTGTACAAAAACTATGTTGTGATTATTTTAAATTTTTTGAATAATCTCTTCCTTTTCTTAACACGGTATAAATGATTTTCCAATGCTTTCAAAGGAGAAATGTGGGAGGGAACGCACTCCCAGCTAGCGGATCTAACAACAGGCAAAATATATTGAATGGTAGATGTTATTCTTTAGAAATTCATAACCGCTGGTCACGAATTCTTATAAGCGGCTCTAATTTATTTCTGCTTAACCCTAGATATGCCACTGTTGCCAGACCAGACTAGTTCTACCATCAATAGTTCAAAATTTGGTCGAAGTACGTTTCATTTAAAATTTTCAAAACTGTCTGCTGGTTAACGGTAAGGAACAACTACCTTGCTGGAAAGTTCGCTTGTGACGTTTTGTCCCGTTCATGAGACATTTTATAGTAAACATTACAATAACATACAGCTATAAGCTCATAATACGATCAGAGTTAACTGGTATTTAATGATATCTTAATTTAAGTGTAAGACGAAACGTCACCAGCCATGATGGAATTCTAGAAAGCTATGCAAGACTTTTCGAATATTGCAAGAACTCGTTTCCGCCAGTCCATTTCCATTTTTTCTAATTCAAGTTAAAACCTCTTTTCTGTTGAATTTAAATCCGGGAATTGTTTAGTATTGAGCGGGGTGAAGTGAACAAGAACTTTTTGTCCATAATTGTAGCACAGTAAATGCAGAATAAGTTAGAGGCTTATTGCATGAACATGAGATTGGACAGCGCCATTCACCAGTAGATGATTAGTGGCTGGTTAAAGTTTTATGTCAATATATGTCACTCGTCACGATGTCTGAGTATACCGTCCGCACTCCAGATTTTAATTTTACTGAAGATATTCAATACATCGATTGCAATATTACAGCTATGCTGTCTACTCTGCTACGACAATTACCTTTTGTACAACCGACCGCTGGACGAGAAAACTATTAGCACGACAGTGAAATGTTGATGTCCATAAACATGCATGGAAAAATTCTACTTAGCTATTTCACAATCTCAAACAACATTTTTTATGTCATATTCTTCTCCATATGTGCACAAGCAGAAGGCAACAGCTCACTCAATTATGGACGTGCCATAGTTGTTCCTGAAAAAATGCGTACGATCCATAGATATGCACTAGCCTTATATATATATATATATATATTAGCAAGGCAGCAGCCTCAAGAACTATCCGCGCCCGGCGTATTGCTCTCTGCCATTTTTTTCGTCCGCGTCATTTTTTCCAATTCGGCGCTTGCGCCTTGCCTGGTAACGGCTGGCGCGTTTGATTTTTTGCTCAGCAAACTGTTGAAGAAATTGGCAAGAACGCCCTCGCCCGGAGCTTGGGCAGCGGTTTTCACACCATCCTAAAAACAGAATCACCTTTACAGTTAACATTGTCATTTCAACTGCCACGTCTGATTTCAAATGACAAGCACATGCAGTACACACGTAAATACTTCATCCTTTTTTTAAGTAAATTTTCCATGTTTGCACACAAGAGTGGAGTATCATTGTCACACTTTTAAGATTTTTAGTGACGTAACCGCCGAATATGTGGTTAATTTGAACAGTGGAAAAACAGATTTACGAGAGCGCGCATATCGGAATATATTTGCTATTTCATATATATTTACTGACAACTATTCAGGTGTTCATGTAAGCATGGTAATGAAAATGGCCGAAAGAAAAGACGATTATGAAGAAAACAGAAGCCTCCACGCGGTTTTTATCAAAGATAGATATTCATTACAGCGATGAAGAATGTATCTGATATAGAATAAAGAAAGCACCATAACAAGATATGATCAAGTAAAACAATGGAGGATAAAAGGTAGCAATGGAGGATGCATGAATTTAAAATGCACTACAGCAATGTTAGGTAAATTATGAAAATAAAGAATACAGCAGAATAATATAGGATTTTACATACCTTTGTTTTTATAGCACTGCCTACGCCGGCAGCTGCTCGACCACCAGGTGAAATACGACTTGCAGCAGGAGAAGCAGATATTCTGGATTTGGTAATGTCCTAAAAGGAGAAAAACGACAATTTTTCTGATTTTTGTACTATAGATCTCAAATCTAGGTGAACCTCGATACTAAAACCACAGCTAATAGAAAACAAACGCCTTACCGTCATTCCTGGCGGGCGCGACAGCCCTGGCGGTGGTGGATTTTTGAGTAATGCTTGCTATGAATTCATGATAACAGGATGTTAGACGAAACCGAGGTATCGAAAATTACTTCCAAGTATAAACGTAAAAATTCCAAAAACCTGTTGCTTTTCCAGGAAAGATTGTTCGTCTTCGCATTCCAATTCTTTATCTTGGATCGGCTGTGAAAAGTTAAAGTTCGTATTAATCCACTTGGATCTGTTAAAATTACATTCTAACTTTTGATTAACTGCATTCAAACAAAACGAGGATGATGGAGCGAGAGGAATGCTTTGTTTCAGAAAACTAAACACGAAACAACATGACGTAGTGCAATACTTTGCGGCAGTAGCTCTTACGTATCGTAAAAAATTTTCGACTTTTTAAAATTATTCAAACTTTACATATATAGACTTGAAAAACAGAATTTTGACTTTTCGACCATATCGACTAACAACCCAACCATTTACGTAACTTCAACCCTACATTTGTTGGAGTTTGGCTTTGACGAACAAATAAAAAGAATTATTCGTCTGGGATGTAAATAACTTTGCAATTCCCTTTATATAGTTCTCCACCCAATGAAATGTACTTTTAAACTCTCGCCAGTGCACAATGATGGCAAATCTCAGCGTTAAGTAAAACGAGATAATTCAGGTAAACTGACTGTGATAGCATTACTAATTTTGAACGAGAACACGTACACGTCTGTATTCTGGCTTTTTTATATGGTCCTCGAAGGCGTCTTCCGGATTGATCCGTGTCATTTGCTCATTAAGAATAGATATTTTTGACATGTTGTCCCAACCACTTGGTCTGAAATCACAGGAAGAATATAAATTTATCGAAAATCAACAATGTACTATTGAAAATACTTCCCCACATTTAGTTACGGTTTAATACATTTTCGGATGACTTAAGTTTCGCAACGTTAGCTAAATCACCTTAGGTAAGTGCACAGGCGTCAATCCAACGTTAATTGAGGGAAATATTGTGCTCTGCCTGAGGATGACTTTGACATAAAGTCAAAATTTACAGTTCACATCGTGTGTTGTTCTGATTCATATTTTCCAATTTCAAGTTTCTTTGGAATTTGTTTTTTACTTTATGTTTTAAATTGTCGGCTGGACATAGTTTCGAATAAGCCCCCAATAAACGTTCGATTGAAGTGAATGGGTAAGTCTACCAGACTCTTCAATACTAACATGAATATGGACTCTCTATCAAGTACTGAAGCTGGAACTCTAAATGGGAAGCTGTATATTTTATGGAGAAGGTACTGTTTCAACAGATTACAATTTTTGGACTCTTTCACAGAGGTATACACTAAGCCGGCGCCATCTTGAAAATTGTCAAGGAGTTTGAATTTGAATTACACGTGCTACGCAATATTTTATACAATAGGCAATCAATATTGGTTGCCTATTGTATCTTAATCGACTTGAAACTTCAGCAAACTAATAAAAAGTTGACTATTTCCAGAAAAGTTTAAATAAAAGATAAGGACAGTATCTTGAGAACATAAGAATTTACAATATGCTGTCTGAGACAAGCGTTACTTAACACAACTATGCTGAGGAAAAGGATACATTTCAAACAAAATCTTCTAATTTGCTGTTGAATAAAATCGAAATGTTCGTTCTTAAAATCTCTTTCCTTTTCTAGACTCAACATGGAATCCGTCTAAAAAAAGAGATGAACGAAAGCATTCTTCACATCGTACACTCCGAATGAGACATCAGTGTTTCCCGTTGTCACACATGGAAGACAACAGAATACAAAGCCAAATAAGCGGAGAGCTTATGTAACACATCTGAGCCGGCATTACGTGTGTTCAAACAAACCTTGGTACAAACAACAACTATGGGAAAACCAAGATTGTCTGTTAAAATTTCAGGATCCAGAGGTAAAACGACGTCCTCTTCTTCACTTCCTAGTTTCTTTTTCTCGTCATTTTGCTCTGGGTCAATATACTCTTGAAATTGTTTTGTTACTGTATGGAAAAAAAATTTAATTACCACACATTGAATACAAGCGGAAGCTGAAGCATTGTGCAATTTTGGAGCCTGGGGTCAAGAAGTTGGAATGTACAATGCTTACCAAGGTATTTGTTACATGTTTGTAAATGTAGATCGTTCAGGTTGGTATTGTCCTGAGAAGGACTGTGTTTGTTGTTATTGACTGACGTTTCGACAACCTTAGCGGTAGTCATCTTCAGAGCCAAATGAGGAGTAAAAGTCAGGTTAGCCGTATTTGTTATCTGGTTCTTACGTCATTGTATTGTGTGTACAGGAAATGTGTATTGTCATTGTAAATTAGTGTGAAGTGAAATATTTTTATTTTTAGTTGTGATGTGTGATTTAGGTGTGATATTTTTAGTTGTAATGTGTGGGTGTCAATTGTGTATTGTCATTGTGAATTAGTGTGAAGTGTAATGTTTTTAGTTGATTATTTGTTTGTATTGTGAATAAGTCGTTTGTAAGGTGCCGGTAATTGCTGTGATCTGTTCAGGGGGTTTGTTCCAAGTTGGTATACCATCTTTCTAATGTAGGCCGTTGTCTATAGTCAGTACTGTAAGTAATGCATTTTGCCGAGTCCCAGTCAATGTTGTGCTTTGTGATTCGGTGATGTTCGGCAATGTGATTAGTTTTGTCTTGTTTCTTAGTAGCTCGTTTGTGTTCAGTAAGTCTTATGTTTAAGTTCCTGCCAGTTTCCCCGATATAGGAGGCGTGGCAGTCGGAGTAGTTTATTTTGTAAACTGCACCTTGTCGTTCGTTGGGTTGTTCTTTATCCTTTATGTTCGTTAGTACTTGTCGTAACGTTGTGATTGGTTTATGTGCGAAACGTATGTTGTATGGTCGTCAGATACGCGAGATACCTTTGATGTAAGGTAACGTTGCTGTTGTCACTGAGTTGTTCATTTCGTTGTGTTCGTTGGGTTTGTAAGTGTTGCGTTTGATAAAGTCAGAATTAAAGTTGCTTTTGTCAAAAACACGTTTGAGATAGCTGTTTTCGTTGTGTAGAGCGTCCGGTGAATCACATATGATTTGTGCACATCTTGTTAATGTTCTGATTGTGGTGGCTTTGTGTGATGTAGGGTTGTAAGATGATTGGTCTAGTAGTCGGTAAGTATGTGTTGGCTTGCGATAAACTGTTGTTCGTAGTTTTTGATTGTCATGTTTTACCAAACAGTCGAGAAAAGGAAGAGTTCCGTTTTCTTTGACATCTTTGGTAAATTTTATGTGGCTGTTCTGTTTGTTGATGTGAGTGTGAAAGTCATCAATCTCGTCTGCATGTAGTGCTGTGATTGCGTCATCTACGTAGCGGAAGTAAGTCGAGGTGAGGCAGAGCTCCAGTAGCTCCATAATGTCTTCTGTCGGCAATGGCAGTACGTCCGTGGTGTTTGTAATGAGGGTTCTTGTACAAGTAAGTGCCAGATTAAGTGGAATACTGGTGAACAGTGATTTCACATCAAAAGACACTAGTATATAGTTGTCCGGTATTTGTATAGTGCTCAGTTTTTTAATGAAAGTTTTAGTGGATTGTAGCTTGTGTTTTGATTTGTTTGTAAGTGGTTGCAGTATGTCGGTCAACTACTTTGAGAGTTCGTAAGTAGGCTACTAAGAGTCGATAGTAAATACGTTCAGATATAATGCTAGATTTTCTCATAGAGAAGATCTTGCTGTTAAGTTTGCGTACTAGTGATGGTGTTGGGTCTCGTTTGAGTTGTTCGTACGTTTGTCTGTCGTTAACAAGGGTGTCCATTTTGTTGAAGTAATCATTCCTGTCCAAGACCACAGTCATGCGTCCTTTGTCTGCTTGTAAAATGACGATGTTGTTGTCGTGTTTTAGTCGTTTGAGTGCTACGACAACTAAAACAGTCCTTCTCAGGACTATACCAACCTGGACGATCTACATTTACAAACATGTAACGATACTCCCGGGTTCAAACCATTTACTTTATGGTATTTGTCATAAAACATTAGTTGAAGTTAACATTGAAAGCCCACTATATATGTACATTTTAGGTAGAGCCATTACAAGATATTTTTGATTGATAACATTGCGTATTTAACATAAAAAATCTTTAGATGCGATGATACATATTCACATATACATTACCACAATTTTTTCGGAATTACTCCGTAAAAAGCTACATGTTGGGCTCTCAAATTCATGTTGAAAATTAGCTTTACAACAAGCAAATATCTGGCAACAAGTTTGCATGTTGAAACCAAAAGCTAAACACCAAATGTAAAATGCAGGGTTTTTTATTAGACATTAAACTTTTATTCAACAATCATACTTTATATTTATTGCATATCTTACTTTATTGGGAATTCCTTGGCCTAGATATGTAAAACAGTGTGGACTTACGGAATTCTCCGTGATGCTACTGGATATATTACTTATACCAAGACCTCCACTTACTTCTGCTTTCCATTTCATTCAATTCCTTTGGAGATAAGTTTAATGAATGAATATGCTCTCTAAGGACATGAACCCATGAGTTCAAATTGTCCATTATTGTCCACGGTCTTGACATATCTCCAATCAGAATGACCGTTACATCTTTAGCAGACTTCTTTGTCACAGCAAACTTCAAGATATTTTTATATCGGGCATCCCCATCCATTACCCAAACATTTAACCATGTGCTGTCTAAATCATAAAAATTTGTATAAGCAAGAGATTTCTTGTCAAAAAATAAAAGCAGCACAAACTATATCTGTGAGACAGATATGTTTGTGCTTAAATATGTTTCATAATGGTGGCACAAAGTATTGCATTAGGGCATAAGTTAGATGAATGACTTCATGGCTCTGAGCAATAACAGACTTCAAAGTATACTTTAAATGTGCATTTTAACTGAATAGAAGTAGCGCTTATCTATTATTGAATGCTTGCAATTTAAATTGCAGTATGAAAATATTATTGAATTCCTAAAAAAGCAGGAGTTTATACAAAAACTTTCAGAGGCGTCCTTGACAATGTCTCATGTTTTATGAATTTATGAAACTATGACATGTCAACAAACAACAGATTGTTATTGACAAGTGTGAAATGGTCTGAGAATTCGGAGTAGCTTTCTCTAACCTATGAAAGAAAAGGTTTCATGCTAAAAGAAATAGGTAAAAAAATACCGTCTCTATCTTCATCGTAGATATCAATGTAGCTGTATTCCATTGCATGACCTTTCTTGATTTCTGCCGCACCGGTTTGTAGTTTTACGATCAAACTGGTCTTACCAGTGCCATCGTTGCCTATAAAACATCACCCGAGACATACATAAAGTAGTCTATTGGCCATAAAATCCCTAACACTAAGGAGTTCATCACCTAAAAGGAGTATAGACTTGTTTGATGGTAGTTTTTTTGACGTAGACGATGAGACGTCATTTAGTATGGCAGACCTAAAGAGATAACAAAACAAAAGCTGTTAATGGCAATTATAAAGGTTGAAATATTACAAAATACGATTGTTTTTACCATAGATCTTCTTCTTCCTCGTCTTGTTTACTGTTTTTAAGATCGTTTACAATCCTCTCAGAATCCGCCATTTTGATTATTGTTGATGAATATGATTTTCTGATCTCGCCCTTTGGCCGTGTGACTATCAAGGAAAACTGGGACATACTATTCCGGCGTTCTCCGAGAAGAGGATAAACGGAGGGTGTCGGAAAGATGAAGGGGTGGGAAAATTTGAACGTTTTGAACGTTTTGGGAGTTTGCTGCATTTTTTGGAAGAGAAAGTGGCTCTCTGTCGTCTTTTGACTTGTTTTAACGTTGTTTCTTTTAAAAATGGCTTTTTGTTATATGAAAAGAAATTGAATCGGCTGTGATTTGAACGGTAAGATATGTGTAGCATTAAAAAATTTGGTATTACAATACAAACAATATCGCTGCCTCAGTGAGATGGCGTTTTGGTATACAGTACGTCTCCTTTCCAATTTCCATTGTGTGTTTTGTCTCGATTAAATGTGTATTTCCTTTTAAAAGATGTTTCTTTTAACTTCTATAAAGTATTTGTTAACGCAAGCGGCTTGCTTTTGTTTAAGAACGAACAAAAATCGTAGTCTGAGTAGACTCTACTTTAGCCATGTTTTCAACGTTCTCATAATGTTGAAGAGCGAGATTATAGCCTAGGCGCAAATTGGGAAAGTTTGAGGGATGGTGTCACTTTGTTTGAGTGGATATGAATTTTTTTTCCAGAAATGGATAAATATTGAAAGAAGTAGGTCCTGCCAATATTGTAGGCTTGTCTGTCAAATAAATATGCTGCTAAAGACAGTCCCAAAAGGTATACCTCCAGTTTATTTTTGGATGTGCGCACCTGCTTATAGAGCATCATCCTTCCTTTCTCTGTTCAATTGAAAACTAATATCAACTTGGGCAATACCCATACTACATAGTATGTCTGTTTTCACACAGATCTTGGGCATGGAAAGCTGGAGAATATCAGTGCATGGGAAAACTTAGTGGTAAAAATGTACCCAAACACATTGAATTTTATGTAACTGATTGGGTTTTGCTTGATAACTCAGGTGCACTGAAACTTGTCACTTGACAAATCTGGGGCTGAAATTGCCTTTCTCTATGGTCTGGATAAATTTCTCAAGTCTTTGTAAAAAGGGAGAGTTGGGTTTAGTTAAATATTGTTCACTTGTGTGCAAGAGAAAAGTCAGGGTACAAAGTAGTATATGTACCTTTGCTTTTTGAAGGCTTTTATACACAAACTGCAGATCTGATAGCTTCTGCTAACTCTTAAAGTCTTTCGACAAACACAAATTGTGTGAGTATTGTTATAGAGGTTAATATAGAATAAGCTAGATGGGAGTGAACTGTTCAAGGGAAAAAATTCAAAGACAGGAAAGAATAAGATGGAGGTAAACTTTCCATGAAAGTTCATAAACAGTATGAGAATGGAAGGTTAACAGTTCAAGGAAGTTCAAAAACAGCGGGTGAAAGGTGGGAAATGGACTGGCAGTTCAAGGAAGGCAGTTCAATGACTGGAGGATGCTAGATGGGAGTTAAACATTGGAATTGAACTGTTCAAAGACGTATAAAGTCTTGGTGGTAGATGTGGAATAAGCTTTTAAGGAAAGGAAGTTCAAGGACAGGACGTGTTAGCTGGAAGGTAAATTGTTCAAGGAATGAAACACATAGGGTATTTGATGGGAGTGAACTGTTCAAGGACATAAGCTAAAATGTATAAGATGCTGGATGGGAGTTGAACTGTTTAAGAAAGTTAAAGAACAGGGGTGCTGTTAGATGGAAAGTGAACTGTTAATGACAGTTTGAAGACGGAAGTGGTAAATGGGAACTGAACTGTTCATGACAGTTCGAAGACAGGGGGTGGTAAATGGGAAGTGAACTGTTTAAGGGAGATGGAAGACAAAGCACATGGGTTGCTTGATTGGAAGTGACTGTTGATGGAAGAAAGTTAAAACACATCAGGTGCTAGATGGAAAGGGAACTTTTCAATACAGTTTAGAGATAGGATGTGGCAGTGGGAGGAACTGTTCAAAGAAGAAAGTTGAACCGCATAGAGTGCTTGAGGGGTAGTGAAGTGTTTAGGGGACGAACTTCAAAGACAGTGTGGACGTTTTCAATTTTATGTGTTAAAATTTTTCCAAAAAATACGAGCAAGAAAGACATCGTTGAGGGTTCATTTTTATTTGTATAATTAAATGCTTTATAAAAATACAATATTTACATTACATTTAATTATTCTATTTTGTTCAGCGAGTTGATCCTCGATGTTTTTTCCTTTGATCGTGTCCAATCTTTCGCTGTACAACATTTTTTGAAGATCTGACTCAGACAACATGACTCTTTGAATTATTCTTTAATCTTAGACTCGCTATGCTGACATTCATATTCTAGTCTGAGGTACTTATAAACGCTTGGGCAGTCTGTTTTATCGAAAAATATCGTGGATGCTGATATCTCACAGGCGTTTTCATCTTGACATTGGTTTCTCACTTTCGTCATCGTGTTCGACTCATCTTGAGGACACATGGCGTCCGTTTTTAGACCGCGTGCGATTGCATCGTTGGTGCATGTGTTTCTATCGTCCCTTCCCCAGAAAACCGACTTGATGTTGATGAGTCTGTACTTGTCGCACTCTATCCATTCCTTTTCTCCTTCACACGTGACTGTTGTCTTCAGGTCAGCATTCTTAGAAAAAAGTATAAAACTCATGAATTGTTTGTTATAGCAATACATATAGAATGTGAACTAGAGTCCACAGATCAGGGCGGAGTTATAGTCTTATTACTTATTAAGGTTTTCACCTTAGTCCCCTCCCAACACATTGCCCGCTACATTTTCACGCTGGGGATCTGCATGGTAACGCAGAAAAGAAGTGGAACTAGTCGTCAAATAGGAATCCATTTCTTAATTAAAACTTATTAGTATCTCTTTGATTTGATTCTAAATTTACGTCGGAATTATAGCTGTTACAAACTAATACCATTACAATTATTCGACTTCTTTTAAGAAAGGAAACATTAGAGTTTATGTATTACTTACTGCAAAATGGATTCTACTCTAACATTCCTTCAGTTTGTTAAAATCTCAACGCAAGATCAAATGGATAAAATTGCTTGCAGGAATATTTTCATAAATTTTTGCTAATGTGCATGTACCAAACAGCATGATTATTCGGGTTTTTCTTATGGTATTATGAAAATATACAATTCCTGTCCCATGTAACTCAATATATGAACTCTTCAGCCCCAGAGACTCTTGTGGTGTTCACTAATTACGGATCTTAGTATCCTTTTGTTTATGTTAAATATATTGTAAGGTGTTAAAAATTTCAACATTTTTAGCCTGTGATCATCTTAAAACAGAATTTTCTTACGTCTACGGTCTAGTTATTAGGTGAAAGAAAATGTTAGGACATTTTTTGGGATGTGGGCTCTTTGGGCTGCCCAATTTACTCTATTTGTTATTTTTTTTCAAGAAAGCTCAGTGCATCTCTTCATACTTTAGGTTTTTCTGGTATGTCCGATCTCTGGAAAGGTGCTCCGTTATAATAACTGTGACCATAGCCACTCCCTGTCGCCTGACCATGTAATGGGCTGTAGTTCCCAACTTCACCGCCACCATTGTTGACGAAGAAGCCAAGAGGTAGGCGCTCGTTCCAGTAATAATCTTCAACACTGTCTCTCTTTTTTATCACATGACTTCTTTCGTTGTTGCTCACTGGACTACTGAGCTGTAAAATGGATTTGAAATTAATTACATTTGAAGTAATAATATGCATTTGTGCATATTAAGCCAAGGTCTGTAAAGGGCTGTTCACACCATCCGATCTTGTCGAATCCTAAAAAACGGATCGTGTGAACGCATATGAAGTGAGCCTCCGATAATCGGATCCGTCAATCTAAAAAATGGGATGGAAATAGAAGTTGTTCTATTTTCATCCGACAAGATCAAAGAAAACCGACTAGTCAAGTTACATAGATTTGAAAAAGACTTGGTAACAAGAACAAAAATACGAAAAATATATCGATAAATGTACTGGATAGCTCAAATGGTTGCTCACACGACTTTAAATATCTAAACGATATAAATATAAACTAAATTATTGGACCGTCTTAACAAGCTACCAAAAGTTGGAAACGAAACAATCGGATCCAACAAATCGGATCGTGTGAACGGGCCTTAGAACCGATCACAATCTTATGCAAAAGTTGCACTATCAATTTCAGATACGTTGAAATTTTTAGTGAGGTGGATGATTAGAACGGACTGAAGGGTGCACAAAAGGTAACATTTGAAGTTAAGCAAACGTGTCTTGCTTTTCCTCAACACATTAAGTGTTTTATGATATTTAATTGAATTGAGAGCGTCAAATATACATCCGGGTTGCCTTCCCTTTGCAAGCAGCCATATTGAAATTTTGTAGCCAATAAAGATTGCTGCGACTTTACCAAACAGCTGCTTTTGTTTTTAGTCTTTGCAGCCGAAACCTACCTTGTTGAAATTGTGGAGATATGTTGTAATCACCAGTTAACACAAAACATCGAAACTACTGTTATAGTTAGTTGCATGCAAAAATCACAGGTACACATGTAGTTGTACTAAATGTACATTTAAATATGTACATTCATAAATTAGATTTGCTTGAAGTTAATTACATTGCAGTTGAATATGCGCATACAAAAATCACAACAAATTATAGTCATACGAAGTTTATCTTACTTTGCATACAATAATTACAACTACACTAAGTTATGTATACTGTATAGTTAAATATTTACATGAAAAATCACAATTGCAGGAAGCTATTCTATTGCGCACTCAAACATCAAACATGTATGTATGCAAAAATGACAATGCTGAAAATTGTATTTGCCGTACTGTTAAATATGTGCATGCAAAAGTCATAATTCCACGAATTCACCGCTGCTTACTGTGCTGTGAAATACGTGCATGCAAAAATTACAGATACATAAACTTACTGTGCATTTAAATGTGCCAAGAATGATAAAATAACCAAGTAGTCTTACAGGTAACTTCATTACCTAGAATGAAAGAAACGTCTTTTATTTAACTTGTTATGTATTCCATCGTCTAACGTTTTTGGTACTGTGCTTGATCATCGAAATTAGACAAAAAATATTCTCAAACAATGTTAAAACTTCAAGAGCATCATTTAAACATTGACAATGATGTGATTTTTTAAGTTATGTAGAATTAAATATACGTATATTTGCAATGTATTTCTATAATGAAAACAAAAACGTCCTTAAGTCTAACCAAAGTTTTGGTCTTGTAATACAGGACTATTAGCTTACGTTTTTAGTAAAGTAGATATTATTTTTGTGTCAAAAGTCATGTCAATGATTTGATGAATGGCTCTTTTCTTTGTTGATAATTAATTTTTCTGTTTGAAATAGTGACAGAATTTGTTGTCAAGAATCATATTGATCAATAAACAGCCCAATGTATTTTACTCTTTCCTATAAATGCTATTGCTCATACCAGTTGTCATGAGTGTCCTAGTCGTCGGTTTAAGTCCTGCTAAGTAAATATCAGATCGTTATCAGCCTGGTAAGTTTGCCTTGTTGTGTAAATTTTATAACATTGTTTTTTGTTTCCTTAGAAATATTTTTTTCATAGCAGTCGTTGACCACATAAACTTTACATAACAAGGCTAAGAAATACGAATTAGTTATTTCACTGAGTTCAACCAATGATTCGGCTCGTATTGTTTTAAAGACGTGTACTTTCAACAGTAAAATGTAGCTATGTCAACGCAAATCATACTGTTTTGCTGCTCACGTCCTTTTTATCCATTATTTAACTTCATCCTCTTTATTGAAAATACACTCCCATTAAATGACTAAAACGCATCTTTTCAGTGGATATTTAATCATGTTGCTTTTGCGATGCTTAATCATGTGTGAAGACAGGTCGTTACTGTTTCGTCTTCAAGCAAAATACGAGACAATCGATAATTTTCTGACAGGGAACATTCTATAGATTTTTGTTCTGCAGCAACACATTTTTCTTTTCAGGAAAGATTAGGCTCTTTAAAAATCATAAGAAAACTTTCAACGAACATAATTTTCCATATTGGATCCGTTCTGCCTCCAATCGAAAGATTTCATGTCGACAAATATATGCTATAAATACATGACAGAAATTTCAAACATTGCCCATACCTTATTTTGCCAAATGCTCTGTCGAGTTCTACAGTTTTCTATAAAATCCCAATAAAAACATTAGGAATTTTTGATAATTTCTGTCAAATTCGTATCCACGCTCATAAGATCATTGACTCGTTAAGTCATTACGTCAGTCGATTCTCTCGTCAGGTAGACTAAACTCGCCAACACGTTTGTTCAATGAACCGTTTTGAAACTAATTTCACATGCAAATTTCACTTTCGCAAAAATTTTGGTATACAAACATAAGGTTCGTTTGTGAACGGCCACCTTTCATGAATATGCGAATTTACCTTTAAAGGAGAATTGGACTTTCGTTGCTTAAAATTTACAAAATTTGGATTTCAGATTAAACCCCAGCCAACTATCACAGTTGGTTGGGACATGTGACCCCACATAACCTTTTCAGATGGTTTGCAAACCAGGGCGTCGCTTATTCTATGGCAACACGAGTGACGCCGAAGAAGAAAACATTTAAATCTTCTAATCACTAGACATTTGGAAACGGTTGTGTTTACACACTTTCTGCTAATTAACCCATTCTTACCCAGATGTATTGACACATTGTTTTCTAGTTTTCTTGCGTTTAGATGCGACCCTTTTTAACTTTATTCAATATTTTAAAACTGACCAAATCGCGAGTGATTCTTCGAATTTATCTTGCAACATATAGTTTTGAATGGTTTTCATTTATGGTCGTTGGCCATTAATCAACGTATGTTGCATTTTGACAATAGTTTTCGTTTCGTACATTTTAATATATTAACGATAAGTATTTATCTTTTAAGTAATTATCAACTTCCACCATGTCCAAATCTTATTTTGGAGTACATTCCAGGCATATGGAGACAAAAAAGTATTTTCTTTCGGTAATCTTTAGCTAAAAACAGGGATTTTCTTTGTTCACTTTTTTGATTAAACGTTTGTGCTCGGCAATAAGAAAAAGACGGATGTAACATTTATCAAAATGCATTGCGGTTATTGACGTTTTTAAAGTTAAACCTTTAGTTATCTTGATGTTCGATGTCATCGAGTATTTACGCTGACATCATTTTCGTCTTAGATTCCTATGACTTCAAAGCCGAAATGCATTCTAGTTATTTGTACTCGCCATTTTTGACTATAGTTCCGTGTTCTATGAAAGGTGATGTCAATCCCTTCTATCACGGGTTTGGGTTCGAGATCAGATGTATTTAATTTACCCATAGCCCTCTCTGATGGTTAATGTATACAAACAATTTCTGCACACGGCGCTCCAGTGCAATAACTATATTATACCATGGTTGCCTCAATTTCTATTTTTCTAGTAAATCGAATTAAATATTAGTATATCTAATTAAAATTCAAAGGTTGTAGTAGAAGTAGTACTTCCGTTACAGGTAGTATTAGTGTTAACTAACAATCCCGATTTTTGAGCTTGCAATACTAAAAATCACCACCTCCCCTTAGCTACAAAACGTCTGAATAGTTCTAAGATCGTTGACAGTTTGTGAAGCACTGACTAAGACATTTCAGCTCTCATGGTATTAAGTTTAGTAAAACTTCCCTTTTATCATTAATTGACCAGTATTATTACCTTTAATCAGTAACACCACTACAATGGTTTACTTAAAATAATGTTCCGAAAACAAGCACTGTCATACAACTCTTTCCTACATGTACAACGTTTATTCAAAGTATGTTGCCAAATTATATATTTCTTTATATGAAAGAGAAATTAAAATACGTTAACGGGCGCAATGCTCTCAAAAATAAGATGTTTTACATTTTGGTACCAAGCTACTAAATTACAATTCTTCACGCCAAATTTCATTGATTTGATTTACTCATCTAATTATGTCATGTCGAATTCAAGTGCGTCACCATGTCCGTCTCGATGTTCTAATTACAATAACTTACAGGTTAATGGTCTTATTGTCATTCGTATGTTCGTGTTAATAAAACGATGATAAATTCGTTTACGCATTAATAAACAATTATACAATTCTGTCCGTTTTAATCAAACGAGCCAATTACTGAGTTATAAGATGGAAAGTGATCGTTCTTGTTCGCATTGGGGTCTGCAAATAAATGGCGGGGTCTCGTTTGTGTTTGTGATTTTTTTATACGTGTCGTTTTTGCCTCTCCTTTTCGCGTAACATTTCAGCGTGCCGTCTCTCCATTGCTGCTCGCTTGCGTTTTCGTCTCTTGCCTCCATCTCGTAAGGCATCGACGACGTTCGCCTCGTCCGGAATACATTCATACCAAATCTTGAGATACTTGTACGTATTACCACAACTCTTGTCGTCGAAAAAGATGTTTGACGCCACTACTTCGCAAGCCTGTTGATCCTTACATTGACCATCTACTTTTTCTTTCGTGTTCTCTTCGTTCGTCTCGCAGAGATTGTCGATTGTTAGACCTGCGGGGACTTTGGGACAGGTCACGTGGTCGTCTCGTCCCCAGAATGATTTCGTGATCTTTATGAGCTCGTACTGTTTGCATTGTACCCAGCCCTTTTCTCCTTCACAGATGACAGTGAAGTTCTAAAATGCAAATAGCTCGATGAACTCAAGTCCTGGATGAGAATACAGGGAAATTGTCTGATTTATTGTGAACGAAGTCGTGATTGAATAACCTCTTTCTTTCCATCTAGTTTTTTAACCTCTACCTGATCTCAGTGAATTATACTGCTATGCAGAGAATTTGAACCACTGATTATTCAATATGTTACGAGCCAGTCAAGAAATGGCCATTTGGCCATTATACCATTATACAGAATGTTGTCATAAATTTTGCGAATATTTTCCCAATCATTATAGGAATCATACTTACAGGCATAATTGGTTCTGGACCCGGTGGTCCAACTGCACCAGGTGAACCTGGTAGACCAGGAGCACCAGGTAGACCAGCTGCGCCTGGTGCACCTTGTTCACCTGTGTCACCTTTCTCACCAGGAAGACCTGGAGGTCCGGGTGGACCGGGAGGTCCCGGCGTACCCGTTGCACCTGGTGCTCCATCTTCACCCACATGCCCAGGAGGTCCGGGGGGACCTGCAATACCGGCTGGGCCAGGCTCTCCTGGGTTTCCAGGCGGTCCTGGTGGACCGGGTGGACCATTTAAACCTTTCAAGAAGAATCCTAAAGTAAGATTCTGTTCTAACAGTTGTGAAACCATAAGTTGATCAAGGAATGGTTGTGTGATGCGATCACCAATCTTTGGCCAGTCCGGCAATATTCTTTGGGATACCTGCATATGAAAAGAAAACACTTTAGTAAAACAGTAATAAGAAATAATGCTATCTACCATTCATCATTGGTAATAGAATTATCTTTCAATTATCTTGTGCCTTGTTCTTCATCGTCATATTACTAACTTGTTTGTGCTGTACACGGTGGGCTTATATAAGCGTATTTTGTAATGTTACGTGTATCGAGGCTTGACTGTAATCAGTAGCAAATTTCTAGTTATGGGGCCTGTAGGCTGAGACAAAGCTGTGGCCCTTTAAGTGTTATCTATTCCTCCAACTAAGTTCAAACGTCTTGGTAACATTTGCGTTCCTCACGCTCTTTTGATTTTGCATTTCCCTGCTTGTGTTTGTAAACCATAGTGATCTTGTAAGCAATAGGGAAAAGTTAAATTTAAAGTTCAAACGAAAGTTCGAAAATCATTTTGAAAAGCCACTACTTCACGAGTTCTGAGCATTGCGTATTTAAAAAGTAGATAGTACGAAAGCCATTATTTCTCTGCATTCAATCGCTCGTACGGTTTTCAACAGCGTAAATGGTTTAAATTGAGCACATCAAAAACCAATTACTAATTTGTCTAGATACCACGGTCTTCTCGAAAGCCCTGGCCTGTCGGCTTCAGCCTACTTAGCCTGCTGTATAATATGCTACAGATTGTAACGCTATATCTACAGAAGAAGAAATTTTATGACGAGAAATTACGCCGTGTCAGAGCATTTCCACTTTAAAATGTGCACAGCATTGATCTTACCGTACATCCTATATAAATTGTTAGAAGGCTGATCACCGCATTTGAGCAGCCTGTGCCTTGACGGCGCCTCATGACCTGGAGAAGAAAGACATAAGAAAATGTATTGTAAGTTGTCGTCATTTGAGATTATTTTTAAATGCAATACTGCCTATGCTCTCATGATTGCTATAATAGTCTTGTTTTGATTTAACATTTGACAAGATAGCCAAAGTTGAGGTGCTGTCGACAGCGAAGTTTCAGTAACTTTTGACAAAATTGCAAAAGTTATTTTGTACTTGTAAACTTTTATATAAATCCATCGAGGAGCAATGACTTAATTGAAAGATTATTTATCATTTTTTCATCATTCTTTTTATACTGTGGCAGTTGCTTTTATGACGCTCTTGTTATGAAATTATTGATTTTCAGGTTCTTTCGCCTGTATGTTAGAATGCCCTTAATGTAACTAGAATTTTTGCGAATGCAAGAATTTTTCGTGACCCACGTCAGATGTAACGCCTAAATTTCTGTCAGAATTCAGTTCGCTTAAAAACTCACCATTTTAACATCCAAATATCTGACCTGCCTTTCCCTTTTCAATAAAATATAAAATTTTCTTGTCCACTCAAGTCTACCGATGCTGTTCTGGACACAATTATCGCAATAAACAAGTCATACACAGGAGAATGACCACGACCTTTAACAATATCCGCGATAGACTTTTCTATTTATCATCAAAACAACTTTGCTATGTAAATATTTGAAAATTGAAATCGAAATTGCGAAGGAAAAAGACTTCGAGCAACAGTCAGTTTGCTAACGTTCTTTTCTATATGGATGACCTTACTGTCGTAATGCTTCAACGATTCGTGATAAATTGACAAACAATCTCTCAAATGCCATCGCTTTTGAATTCAAACGAGAAAATTACGCTGCTCGTGGAAAAGGAGAAATTTATACTTCCATACCTTTTTCCTGTTATGGGTGTCCTAGTTGCTATTTGTCAAAAATATTCCCGTTGAGAGCTCTGATTTCCCTTGACCTGTTGCTTGATTTTCGCATCAAGAATGTTTCCTTTTTTGCTTGTATTTTCCACGGTTGCTTGGCTCAACCAATCGCGTCGCGAGCACCTGTTTCGAGATTTTAAAACAAGTGTGAAATGCGGCATCGTCTGAGATCATTCCATTTCGTCAAATGTTATCGTATCTTGACCAATAAAACACACGCTAACCGACCAAGCGTCCAGCTTAAAGACTAAACTGACTTGGGTTGTGATCGATAATGTCTTGTAACATGAAAAGCGTGTGAGAGTGTTGCCATCCTACTATTTAAAAGTTATGCCATACATTTTAGAAGAATGAAAAGGAGCAGTGTTGAAACAACGATAAGATCGTCACACGCATCGATCTCATTTTTTTTTCTGTTTTACTACCTGCAGGAAATGTGCTCTTTATCTTTATAGAAGCCGTGAACACATAAGAGTATAGTAGTTTGATTGTAAGACAGGGCAATTGGTTTCTGCGTTCATCCCACCATCCTTCACACATCACCTTATCATTTATGGATCACGCTATCATCACGAATCACTCCATGTTTCTGGATCACACAATCCTGCATTTATCAAATGTTGCACCGATCACTGTATTCTACATATAGATCATATAATCCTGTATGCGTGAAATTGGTGGCACAGACGAAAGTTTGTGAACATCAAACACACTCAATTTTATGGAAATTGCGTTTCTGCTTTAACTTTGTTAGCTGTAGTCTACATTAACCGTTGCTGCAACTTTTTTTGTATGGTTTGATCGTTATCTGTCCCCTTAATTTTTTTCTACACCACGGTATTTTCAAATGCACTAACTGCGCCGTCATGAGAAAAAAAACGTGCTGATGGTAATTGGACTTAAATAATCATTTGGTCGCTTGGGCGTTCCGTAATTTCATTGTATCCCAAACATCAAACAATGTTCGATGCTTCAAGCAGCTAACGCGGTTATACAAATTGCTTCAATCATGCACTAATATCGCAATATTATTGAGTTTTGCTGTTGGAGAACCTCAATACTTTCAAGTGGACGTTTCCGATGGCAAAACTTTTACTAATGCTTATTGACGGTTGTTTTTAACAGAAGATAAGAACCACGACCTTTCGCTTTAGAATCACTTAAGCTTTTTATGTAACAAGTGCCAAAACAGAATGCTTCACCTGTAATTTAAACCAGGACAAGCTCTTTAAGAGGTTTTCAAAACTTCCCAGGAGATGTTTATTGAGAGTTTTTAGAGAAATTTACATATTGTTAGTTTATACCAGGTTCTAAACTTTTGAGATTTCTGATTACTGTTTTAGTGTGGTGATAAGATGCCTTCAAGGAGAAAATTCTTAGAAGTAATAAATATTAATCTAATAAATTCTTTGTTATAATAATTAGTGTCAACTATTATAAGGATAACTGGTGTAGGTATATACGCGACAACTTTTTTCAAAATATCTTTGTTATTTTCATTACTCAAAAATATTTTCCATTAAAGGTCGTTTGAAATCTTCAAGCTGGTGTTACCTAAAAGTCGAAATATTTTTTGCAGATTATACTTGTACTCGATATCAAATTATTGATAATCGCTACTATTTCTAGACATGCAGTTTCGTGATATTTTCTTTCTTTTTCCTGCAGCTCTTTCAATCTATCCTCACTTCTATATAAGTTTACTACAGCTTGGCACTTTTTTCCATGCTTGTTTTAGATATGTGTAGTCGATGTCTGTGCCTTTTGTTCTTGCTAATGTATTTCACTTTGCTTTGTAAACTCCAATCGAACAAATCATTGAGTTGCAAGGAAGAAGGTGAGTTGTCCGCCATGTGCCGTTCGTTTTCCCCCAGGATCAAGATCTCAATTCCAATTGTCTTAACGCTATCCACATGAATCACACTATTGTGAGATGTAGAATTATGCAATTGAATAAAAAGACAATGTTTGATTGACAACGTGTGATCAATAAGTAAATGTGTTTGGACAATGCGCGAGATATTTGATTGTAAGCGATTGACTACGTCAGTCACCATAATTACAACAAACTTAAGTTTCTATAGTTTTCTTATCTGAAACACCACTTGTTTCATTTGATTAGTATAACGCAACATACTGGAATCGTTTGACTTGATTCTCAAAGTTTGTGCGTCAATGTTCCTTGTAAATGGTAATTTTCAAATGTCGTCTGAAGCTGCTTTAGCTAAGAATGGAAAATTATGCGAATCGTGTTTTTGTACTTCTTTTCGTCCTCTGATAATATCAATTTGCTCCGTTTAAATTTTTGTAGTATCTGTTGCAATTACTTGTGCACAAAGTATATGAACTACTTAAAGAATGAGTATCAGGGTCATGCTTTGCGCGCTTGGTTGGCCATTTTTAAGGACCCCGAAAATGGCCGCTGTAATATGTTTGATTTGAGTACATAAGTACAGCCTATAAATACGGCGTGAATATTGTAGCAACAGTCAAACTATTAACCATAAACGCTTCCTATAAATAAATATGATCACATAATAAACGAAACAATACCTGTACTTAATACGCATCGGATTGCTTATCCCACGAAAGTGCACGAAGGTTCCCGTATGAAGACAAACATTAAGCCCGCAAAGCATTACCCTGATACTCATTCTTTAAATGTGTAAACCACAACGTAAATCTTACAAGACCTCTTTTAATTAGTGGATCCTTAGCCTTCTTAAAAACAGCATCCTTTCTCTTAAAGTCCCATTCGGTTAATTATCTTTGAGCGCGAAAGAAACGTGTTTCAAAACAAGTTTGCTCACTTTGTTGGTTTGCAATGTGTTATTTTGGGTACACAAACTTTCACTATCCTTACTTGAAATGTTGTCACGTGAAAGAACTCCGAATGGCTTGCTTCACAAACTTAAATAACCTTATATGATTCTGCGTTTAGTAGGCTCATTTAACTGAAGTAAAGAACACTCGAGCTCAATGTATCTCATGATAAACTACTCACCATAGTTATTTGTACAGTTCTACAATTTCTGCAGATATAGATATTTTGATAACGATAGTTGCATACGATAAACTTCCAAATTCTTTAACTTTTAAACTTTTTTAAGTTTGTGTACGTACTCCACAATCCATTCAGATTTTCCTACCGGAGTAGTTAACCCCGTATCTTGTACTCTGATTTCCATGTCCTCGTTGGATTTTGCCGCCAAGTTTTCGAACGAATATTCTGATTGATATGACGCGCGCATGTTTTCTTTGACCTGCCTCAAGTATGCGAAACGCGCAATCCCATTGGTCAAGCACATGATATTTTTACAACACATCGTTCGAAAATAATATGGCACCCGTCATTCTCCTGGTCGCCTTCTTTACGCTCGACCACTCTATTATCAAATACTTTTGCAATGAGGCAAGACTAATTTTCGATTCCGAAGAAGTAGACAAGCGTAACAAGTGATTGGATCACCCGAAGGAGAAAATTTTCGCGGTTCATGTCGGTTTTCAATTAAAGGTTTTTCTTTGGGATAGATATTTTTGCTACAACATTTCTGAGTCTTGACTCGACGAGAAACATAGGTTATGGGCGTGATCTTGCCATTTTTATTGGGTCTCACACTCGTGAAACACTCTGTAAGTATTTCTTTTACTTGTTATGTAAACTCATTGAGGCTTGTCGTCGTCTGATGTACTTTTAAAGTGTTGCGATCTGTGTTTTTCCTCATTGTACAAACGTTTTGTTTTAAGTTGTTTTTGAATCTTCTGCTATCCTATGCATGTTTGTTTAAAGAAATCTTGGAACTCATCGTCATGATTTCTCTTCAGTTTACTCTTATCATAATACTAGCTTCCCTTTTAAAATACGCAGGAGTACTCATCAGTAACATCTTCGACCATAATTCTTAGCACACATTTTTACATTTTATGGTTTGGAGAAAAATACGAAATTATTATTATGTTAATTATTTCATGTCATGCGAGTAATTTTTCCAAATATTTTACCTGCTGCTGTTGCTTCGAATTTCTTTAAAATATCAGGAAGAAAATTACTGCTGTAGATGTGCTATTTTCCATCGATAAACAATTGTTTCAATGCGTCTCGTGAACAGATGAATATGATCATTGTATAGCAATTTTGACTTACCTTTTTCCAACTTAAAATAATCTAGCATTGATATAACCCATCATGATTTCACTTGTACGTTTCTCTGGTGTAAATACGCCGACTGATTGACTCTCCAATACTTTCAAATATCGTAATTTATGTAAAGGTACAGTTGTGTAAGGTTAGTTATGTTAAAATACAGTTGTATAATGTTAGTTATGTTGAGGCACAGTTGCGCATAGTTGGTTATGTTAAGGCACAACTTTGTAAGCTTAGTTATGTTAAGGCACATATGTTAAGTTCCTGTTATGTAAAGTTAGTTATGTAAGATAATTATGTTAAGGTACTATTACGTATGGTTAGTTATGTTATAGTACAGTCATGTTGGATTAGTTATGTTTTGAAAAAGATAAGAACATGGTCTTTTTTCTTTTCAGACGTCCGTTCCAGTGTCTGCTGTGCCACCGTTGCTGAACAAACTGCTTAGAGATCAAAATGTAACGCTCGGTTTCATCTTGAAAGGTTTACAGGGTCCTCCAGGACGTGACGGTATCTCGGGAATGGCGGGACCGCCTGGTCTACAAGGCCCACCCGGTGACCGTGGTGACCCCGGTGAACCAGGTATGCCTGGTGAGGCTGGTATGCAAGGACCTCCTGGTATACCAGGTCCAGCCGGTCAGGATGGTATGCCTGGTGCCCCAGGTCTTCAAGGTCCACCTGGTCTAATGGGAGGAAGTGGCATGGCTGGTCCTCCAGGTTCTCCTGGTTTTCAAGGACCACCTGGTTTGCCTGGTCCTACGCCAATCCGATATGTAAGTTTAATTTTTGTTTGTTTGGTGGTATTCCAACAAACTATATTATTAATCATTTAACATGATTTATGCATTATACAATGCAGTCCGTGTACATAGCATGGAATGAAACACTAAACCTTTTGCAATACACTAGTAATACTATGCATGCTGAAATAATCAGCCATTTGTTTCTTTTGAAGAACGGCACAGTAAAATGCGAAGAAGACACGGCTTGGCTAAGGTGTAACGAATACAAGCACATCAGTATCATCTCGGCATTCTGGGGTCGTCGTAACTTCGGTCTGTGCACGGAACACACTGGAAGTCTGCTCACCGACAAATATTGTCCGACCATGCCAAAATTCCTTACAAAAGTCAAAGATGCTTGTGAGGGAACCACTATGTGTGAAGTTCGTGCCACGAAGTCATTTTTCGGAGATACGACGTGTTACGACGTGTACAAATACTTAGAAGTGTATTACAAATGCATCGAGGTTATTAATGGGCACGAAGTCGTAAACGAAGACAATCTACTCAACGCCAACTTCCTTGGCTAGAGTTGTTTGCTGCAAGTTTTTTCAAATTAATAACGAAGACCGTAAGCCTGTTTGTCCACGCAAGATATTTCTAGCATCTAAGTTATACTTAGTGTAAACAGGCTCTATATAGATGATTCATAACGGATTTTTAATCTGGACCAAAAAGTTGTTAATATTGTACAACAAACTGTTTTTTCTTACATGTCAGATCCAACAGTGTAAAACTCGTAGCACTCTTACCTGTATAATTCTTAGCTTTTTCTAAATGCGTTGCTCTAACCGCTACCTGTTTGGTCTAATTGCACAAAACGCCAATAGTACACTATATCTATAGCGAATAAACAACTATTTACTCTTTGGCGGGGTTTGAGCCAGTACAATATGCTACTATTTTGTAGCACAGCTAATCAACTGCTAATTATTGTACTTCGTGTAAATAACATGGTTCTATAATTGAACATATAGCTTACGACATTTTATGTTTATCAGTTTTATTTGATAATTTGTCATGTCCCTATCAAGATGATAATAGCAATGATAATAGCACTGCGGTACGCCATGGCAATTGATTTCTTTCCCAGAAACGGTTTAAATCGTTTGCGGCATTTTAGCCAATGCAGTCGATATATAGGTGTTATAAATAATCTGCGAAGGGATGATTATTGATTGTATCGGTTGTCGAAGAGTCTTTGCCGTGCCGATGTTTTGGGCAAGAACTTTACGCCCGTAGATATTTTTAGCAAAATATTCACAAACCATGATATTTACTGAAAGAAAAGTTGTGAATGATGTTGCAAAAGAAAAGTTGTATATTTGCTGCGTGCAGCTTCGTTAGAGAATTTTTGGTTACGTCAAAAATACCTTTATTAATCTTGCTTAGTGAAATTATATCATTTATTCCTACCAAGATACGTATGTTTTTTTGAAAACGTAAGCCTGCTGTTTAAACTTTGATATGAGTCTCTTCTTGGAGTTGAGGAAATCTTATTTTGGAATTTTGATCCTGCAGAAAATCTGTGTTTAGGTTTTCATGGTTGAGAGATTTTAAATGTTGAATTTTAATAATTGAGAGAATCCAATGTTAGATTTTCAATATTAGACAACAACTGATGTTTGAAGGCAAGACAACGTTTACGACGAATATATCATTTGGGAAAAATGCTGGAGGAAGGCAAGATCTTTTACGACTTGTCCTATAGTTTACTTTGTTATGTGTATTCTATTGACTAGCAATATCATTTTCTCCAGCTCTTTAAATATAACGCAAAGGAGTTTAATGGTGATACCAGTATAGGCATCTGATTTGACTAAAGAGGTCCAAAATTTCGTAAGCTCTTAATTGAAAAGTGTATTACTGCCGTAAAACGTAAGTTCTAATATTTTAAAAACAGTGCATGTTTATGACAATTTCACCTCGTCAAAGAACACGAAATTTCAATGAATTGAACAATGAAAAGTGAATTGAACAATGAATTGAAGAGTTCGACAATCTATAATATAGACTTTGTTAAATGCTTAGGAGTATTTGTTTGTGATCATTACGCCTGCATGGTCAGTGCATAGTGATAATCTTTGCGAAAATATATCGCTTTTGCCATGGGAACATCAAAACGCATTATATCTTACATACTAATGAAGTCAAATCTACCTGCAGCTCTAATTAATTGCTAAAAACGGAACATTTAAATGGATTAATTGACTGATTTTTAACTTGAACTGTATTGTCTTTTTTTATCCGTATGGTTTGAACAATCAGCAAACCAACTTCATATTTTAAATAAACAACTATTCCAAACTCCAAATGTCCCACATCATTGCCATTACTAAAAGATGGAAAAGATAATAAAATTTTGTTTTCTAATATTAATCTTGAACAAAGATCTTCATTGTTAAAAACAGATTTAGTATAATCTGGGTATTTTGGAACTGTATCGACGACTTAAAAAATACTTACAAACTTCAAGAAAAAGAGCACAAAACTATAAATTAAGTACCTGTTCATCCCTCAATGTCTTTCACGCTTCTATGAGTGCATTTCAGAGGAATCACGTCACATTCAAGGAGTAGATAATCCATTTTTTGACTCTCACTCTTGCATTCCTTTGCGAAAGTTTGCTATTTTGAAAGAAATTTCACTTGTATTTAAGGTAAGATCGACTTTGCATTGAGAAATAAAATGTTCGCGGGAACTAAAAACCACGCAGATTATGTTAATAAGCTGTACTTATTTTTCATTTTGCAACGCTTCATTGAGCTTGACGAAATACCTTGAAACCAATGTTCCATAACTGTTCAGATGTAAAACTTTATTGGATTGTGTTATTACTTCGAAGTCTTTTCGTCTGTTTTTGATTTCTTTCAAGTTTACTTGCCAAATGATATTTAACATTGTTATGTAGCTCGTTGTTAAAGTTACACAGTTATTTCTCTGCCATCATGGACTATTTAAGCCTGTAAACCGTCGATTCGAAGATTCTCCAGCAACGTTGGTAGCGTAAGTTTTCCTAAGTCATATTTATATTATTGCTCTTTTTTATTTCTTTTCTGATTTTATTGTCGAAGATTTTTTGGGTGATCTTATCTTAAACCGCACCGTGAACTTAAATGTTTTTTTGGATTTAGAAAATAAAGCCTTTTACTATGTGGTCGTTTGTTTTCATAACTGTTCATTTGTCGCTTATTATTGAGGTAAAGAAAAACGATATCTCTGATTATCATTTTGTTTACTGTATACCTGTAAACAGAGGCAGATTATGCAAAGCTACAGACGGATAATATATACATATATAAGAACTAATTAAAGAATACTATTATTATATTTGATATAACGTTATAATTTGTAATTTCCATAACTTGATCGTAGTTTGTTTTTATTTTAGATTATTCTTCCAATTTATGCTAAAGGAGACTTTGATATAAAAGCAGCTCTTGCTAGTCTGGCTCCTGCAGATTCCCTTCATCACATGCAAAAACGGTACGACCCGGCTGAAGAAAATTCGGAAGCAAACCATGCTGGGATTGATGAACTAATTGACATTGACAAGGGTTTAAGCCACGACGATATCGCTCAAGTGCGCTCAAGAAGATCAGCAAATAATTCAAAAACAACAGAAAACGATAAAATGGTGCAGGCAGTTAAGACTGATCCTGACAAAACCACTTTGTCGTCTGATAACATGTCAAATGAAAAACATGATTTTGCTAAAAGTAATAGTATGATTAATTCTTTTAACGCACCTGATGATTATGTTGACGATAGTAATCAAATAAAAAAAAAAGAAAGGAGTGAGAAAAGTAATCACAGGTCTGAGAGAAACGTCAAAGCTCCACAAAAAGTGAACGATAACAAGAAGAAGGATTTCATGACTTCTGCCAATAGTAATGACAATGACATCGGGATGGAATCTAAGAACAAGAATTCAACTGATTCATCAAGCCATGAAGAAGAATATTCAAGCAAAAAATATTCAACTAAGAAACCTGATGAGAATGATGATGAAAAGATTTAAAAGATCAGGAAGATGTGATGGAAACTATAGAGAAAAAAATGTCTAAGCCAAAGAATAAAGTTAAAGATAATTTGAGTGTTGGCACTGAATCTCATAAAAATTATGTCACAGCTAATGAAAGTCTATTGACTGGCACTCGCTATGAGAATTCTTCTGAAAATAATTTAAACTCATCTGAGGATTCTGAGAATCCAACTGTAAACAAATCAGAGAGAAAAAATGTCTAAGCTCTGAAAAGATCGAAACTATAAAGCCAATGAATAAAGACAATTTGAGTGTTGGCACTGAATCTCATAAAAATTATGTCACAGCTAATGAAAGTCTGTTGACTGGCACTCACTATGAGAATTCTTCTGAAAATAATTTAAACTCATCTGAGGATTCTGAGAATCAAACTGTAAACAAATCGCTGCTCAGAGGTTATGAGTTAAATAAAACAAAAAATGATTCTTCCTCCAGCAGCTCTGAAAAAGACGATTTCCATAAGGAAAGTTTTGAGAAAACAGAGAAATCGAAAAGTTACAACAATAAGTCACGTGGGTTAAATCAGAGCGTAAAAACATCACAAAAGAAAGTTCAAACGAGAAAGCAACTGATTTAGGGGAAAATAATGGTAAAAAGGAAGTTGATTTGAAGGCTAAAGCAAGTAATGATGATGATATTATGAAACCTGAAGATAGTAATTCTAAAGAGAAAGATGATGGAAAGAAAAGTGATAAGAATTCTAAAATATAGAAGAGCATAAGAAAGACTCTTTAATTATGGAAAAGAATTCTACTGAAAACGAGAAAAAGTGGAATAAGGATAAAGTAGATATATCTAAAAATGATCTCAGCAACTCGAACAAAACAGACAAAAATCCTGTTCTAAACAAAAAGAAAGTGGACGAGGAGTTAGAAGATAAAAACAAAAATTCCGAAAATATGAACAAAAAAAATGATAAGATAAACATAACGTCAAATAATCATGAATATAATCATGAGAATAACTCTTATTTTAGGAGAAAAATGTGCACATGAAAGAAAAGAAACGACATTCAAAAGGCGTAAAACAGGACACAGAAAGAACAGATAAAATATCGCACTTCATAGCCAAAACATCAAAAACTGACGATCAGAATTTGGAAAATAAAACGCTTGATTCTGCAGAGAAAGATTCGGAAAAATTCCAGAAAAAGTCGAATGCAGAAAATGAAGATTTAGACGATGATGCGGATGAAACAAATTCGAGTGGCAATGAGTCCAACCATGAATATGAATCGCATCAAGGGAAATCTGAAGATCCCGATAAGGAAACAGAGGAAAAATCAAACATAAAGAGTCAACAAGTTAATAGCGATCGTGATATAGTCGAGGAAGTGGCTCAGGAGAATCACAGGAGAAGAAACGACCGAAACGATGGACGTAAAGGCAAAAACATAAATATGATAAAAATAGCAAAAGTCTAGTAGCGATGATGATAAAACAGATGTTGAAAACTTTGATTTTGGAGATGTTGGGTCTGATAATGGAGAGACAGGTGGTAATGATGATGTGTTACATTCGAGAACTTCTCGTTCAAAAATCACCAAAGCAAAGTCGCAGACCAAAGTCTCGAACAGCAGTGATGAAGCATTAGATTCAAAGAGCAAAAAAGTTGACACCATAGAATCCAAGAATGATTTAAACAATGAAAAACCTGATGTTGAAAACGAATCACCCACAATCAACATGGTATCACATGCAAATAACGAAACAGACTCATCAGACAGAAAAAAATCAGATGAGTCGAACTTTTATGGCAGTAAAAAAGGAGAAAGTTTGTATGATGAAAACAATGTTTCCAAGAAATCAAACAAAGATTTTGATGATCTAAACCTAGTTTCTTCCGATGGTGCAAAATATAAAAATGAACCGTCAGCGAAGAATGATGGACAAAATAGTAAAACAAGACCAAAATTTGAACAGGGAAAAAGCAAGTCTGTACAGGGTGAAAATTCTGACAATGATGATGATGAAGGTGATGATCAAACGCTTCCCGGTGCAACTGGTGGCTCAGATGCACCTCTAAAGATTCGTGAAGGATCAAATGAAGCCAAAGAAGGGGATGCATCGGGGTTCCAGTATGAAAATAATGACGGATCATCTGACCTTGAGAAAAATGATAAAGAGGGGGATGCATCTGGGTTCCAGTATGACAAAGATGACGGATCATCTGACCATGATAAAAATGAGAAAGAGGGAGAGAAATATACTTTTGAAGAAAGTATATCAGGGTCCAAACCAATCAAAATGGCTTCAAATGATATTGAAAATGCATCAAACATTCGTCGTAACAAACATGTGCAAACTTCTTCAGATGATAAGGGTAACCATGTTAATAAAGGCAATAAATTAAAAAGTATAGAGAATAAAACGATAGCAATACGAAAGATGACGTTATTCTCAATAAGGAAAACGACGTAAGTGGTGATAAGAAAAATGATGACATTGATGATAGGAAAAAAGGCATTACTGAAGAAGTTGATTTCCATGACCTTAAAAAAGAAAGAGATAATCAAGGTAAAAAAGATGATAAGGGCAAAGAAAGAAAGATGGAATTATAGAAGATAAGTATGACGATCAAACTCATAATGAAAAACATAAAAAACTGGAGGTCGATGCAAGGAAGGAAGATCGTATGAACGGCAAAGGTACGAACAGTATTAATAAAAGCAGTACTTTAAATTATGTCAATAATGTTGTCTCTAAAAGCAACACGATTGATGGTACAGAAAAAAAGAAAGATGAAGCTAGTGGTGATGAGAAAGATGACGTTAAGGATGAAAAGAAGAACGACGTCAATAGTGATATGACAGTTGACGCCAATGAAAATGAGAAAGATGATGTTAATATTAACGAAGAAGATCACGATGATCATAAGAAATTTGACTATAATGGTGTCAAAAAAGACGACGATGATGATGACAAGAAAGATAACGCTGATGCTGATGACGACAAAGAAAACAAGAAAGTTGATGTCAATGATGATAAAAACGATGACAACGATATTTATAGAGAAAATGACAATGATGAAAATAAGAAAGATGATGCTAATGGTAATGAAAAGTTGATGTTAATGACAACAAAAATAATCACAGTGATAAGAAAGATGATGTTAGTGATGATAAGAATAAGGACGATAAGAAAAAGAAAGTCAATGATAAAAAAACAGATGAGGATAATGAAGACGAGAAAGAAGACTTTAAATGGATAAGACAAATGACATCGATAACAAAAATAAAGATGAAATCAATGAAGATAAAATGGACGGAGAGAGTAGACATGAAAAAGATAACGCGAACGAGGAAAAGAAAGATGGAAAACAGCATAAAAGTCAGAATAAGAAACATAAGGTCGTCAATCTTCGAAAGAAGGATCGAGATAAGAATGATGACTTTAAATCAATCTTACATGATGCTCTCGATCTAGAGAAAGTCGATACAACGGACAAGAGTAGTAATGGCATCAATAAAAATGAAAATAAAAAACCTGCAAACAAAGACAGTTATAAGATAGATGACTTTGAGAATGATGGCGATTTGAAGCACAATATTAATGATAAAATTAAAGATGATGTTACAAAAAATATCAATGACGATAATAATGAAGAAAATAATAATGAAAAAAACACTAATAGTGACAACGACAGTGAGAACAAAAAAAAAGACGAAAAGAATGACCGCCATGAAAAAAATGAAGAAAATAATAATCACGTGAGTGAAAAGGAAAATAATTCTGAGATGAAAGAACAAGAAGATCCTGGCAGCGCAAAAGTCAACGATGTTGAAGTAAATAAAGATTTGAGATTTTCAGGGAACTCTGGTGATGAAGAGGTTAATAATAATAAAGATGACATTTTGAGTAAAGACAAATTGAAAGATTATGTCAAGAATAAAGATGAAGGAGATAATGCCTTTAATGATAAAGATGATGAAAACTTGCCAAGAAAACCTGCCAAGGTTGTGAAGAATGATCATGTTGAAGAGGTTAATGGTTTAGATCACGTTTCTTCTTCAGCTATAACCGAGGAGGGCTCTGTTGAAGGCAAGTCGGGTTCCGGAACGAATGAAAAGATTCATGATTCTGGTGAGCGAGCTGTAGCTGACTCGCTGGCGGCTTCGAGCAGTGTCGTAGAGGCGATAAAAAAGGCAGAAATGCTTGCGAGAAAGGCGCACGCTACTTTGTCGCCAAAGAAAGTTGACCTGCCAGCAAAAAAAAGTGAAGAGTCTCCTGAGGGTTCTGGTTTTGAAGAAAATGATGATTTGAATGAGAACGACACAAAAGAATCATCTTCAGGTAGTCTAGAGATCTTTTGGCATCAATACAAATCTTAGAATAAAATCTATTTGTCAGCTTATTTTATAAAACCTCATTGTTGTTAACCACAAACGTGCATATCATTTTCACATTTCAGAGATCAACTCTTCTACCGAAAATAATGTTTCCGAAAACGATGTGTTGATGGATAAACTGAATAAAAAAACAAAAAAGAAGAATGATTTATATGAAAAACCCGATGTTGAAGTGGAAACTGCAGACGATAATGACAATGAAGATGCGTCTGGTTCTGGAAATATCGAGTTTGGATCTGGTGATCTTTCTGAAGATGATGAAGATGACATGGTCAGTGAGTAACTTTATAACAAAGCTTTTCCAAACTATATATCTTTCAACAATAGCATAGATCCAAGACCTTTGTGCATCTTTATACGTTTTGAGTGAAATTTAATATAATTTTTTATGCGATTGAAGAATTATTTAGGAAATAATATGATATATTAATTTACCTCTTGTGCAATAGTCTGAGGTCTATATATTTTTTTTAGAGCGATGATGATGACGAGAGTTCCTTCAAATGGCCAAAATTCGGTGACGAAGTAACACAGGAAATGCTAGACCACTTTATGATTGCCCAGCTTTTAGAGCAAAACCTTACTTTGTTTTACGGGGGTCTTACTGGTCGACCTGGGCCACCGGGTCATAAGGGTCCTCAGGGGCCAACTGGTGATGTTGGTCCAGAAGGACCTCTTGGACCACTTGGTTATATGGGTGAAATAGGAGCTCCTGGTGAACAAGGGGAAGTCGGACCTCGTGGACCAGAAGGTGACCAGGGCGCACAAGGTGAAAAAGGTAAGCCTGGTCTACCTGGTCTGCACGGTCTCCCAGGTGAGCCTGGTAAACCAGGTGGAAGAGGGAAATCTGGGGCAGCTGGACCAGCAGGACCGGGAACGGAGCTTCCGGTAAGCTATATATTTTGTGATGTACAAATCAATTAATTTTGCGATTAGTTTTGCTTGATTTTTTATTTTTCAGAGCTGTTTGTATTTATGCGAGGGTGAGAAGGCATGGCTTCAGTGTCAGCAATTTGAGTTGCTTCGAATCAAGCGAGTTTACTGGGGCCGAGATAATGGGAAAATGTGTCCCAAGATTCCGCTTGGCCTCAGTGGAGACGCATGCGACGCTGACCAAGAAAACGCATTTGACAAAGTTGAGCAGCAATGTCGACATGATCAAGCGTGTGAAGTTGTGGCATCAAACGTGTTCTTTGACGACAGCACATGTAAAAATACTTATAAATTCCTTAAAATTTGTTATGATTGCATTCCTGACTCGTTGGCCAACCGAGCAGAGCTGTTGCGCACAACACGCGAACGCCGAAAGAGAGGAAAACGTGGAGAATTTGGAAACCAGGGAAAATTCAAGGGGATGACGTCACGGCAGATACAGGAAGAGCGATTGATGGATACCTTATTTGAACACCCAATTAAAGCAAGATTGTTGTAGCTCGTTCCTCGCGATGACCAAGAGGACATTTACAGCAGTTTTAAAGATAAATACAACGACTTGATTGGTTCGGATGAATATCACGACCATTATGAACCAATACTATTTTCATTTAAACATGAAAAACATCCATTGAACTACGATGTTTGCTATCAATAAAAAAATATGTTTCTTAATTTGTATCTGTAGAAGCAATGCAATTTAAACTCGTGCATTGGAAAATTCTTGCGTTGTATGCACGCAGAAAAAAGAAGCGAAATATTTTTCAACATTTTTTTCTCAACAAATAGTCTTGATTATGGTTGTGCTTAATTACGCACGAAGCTGATGATATTTTATAAATCGACAGATTTAGCGCCCGTTTCAATCGTTGAAGGCATTTATCTCATTTTCTTTTGTCTTTAATGCATTCGGTGCATGTTAAGTTTGACGTTTGAAACAGGCTGAAGCGTAGTGATAAGGAATCAAAATAAAAAAATAGGTGGAATCAAAATGATAATAATAAGTGAACGTTTTATAATACGCCCTGACTTCGTCTATTTTCATTCATTGTTCTCAAGACTGTTCTTCTCATTGTTTTTCACAGCATAACCAAAAGTCATTTGCTTGCTATTTTACTATTAAGAATATTCAAGTGTAATATTTATAGACCTGTGCGTAAATTCAGGGCATTTCTGATGTCCATTGTGTCTATCTAAAATGTCAACCAACCCAAACTATTCTTGGTTTGCACACTACGTCATTGTGCCATGTTGGATGATTTTAACAAATGATTTCCCTTATTTACAATGCAAATTTCATCCAACATGGCGAGCATCCCATTATTCTCTTGCTCCCAGAGGAATGATTGCACACCACAAATTCGCTTTTTTAAATAACCCATAAGGTTTTAGAAAATTCCCTTTGTTTGAATTCTTTGAATGAATACTTAATGTTTTCTTGACAAGGGGAATGATCATTTCAACCAATCAGAACAGAAACTTTATTAATGACTTGCACTTAACATATTTTAATTTGCGCATCTTCAGCGTGCTGTAGCTACACCTCGAAGAACGTTATAGGGATGAGAAGATATATATTTATATCCGTTCACAGACAAAGTATAGCTATGAAATACATAAAGTCAGATAAACTTGTATACTCACAACTTTCAGAAGGTAAAAGCTTTTGTTTTGTACATAAACTCATTGAAGATGAGGGCAAGCCGATTTTATTCAATAATATCTGATATTTCGTGTAAATCCTTTATGATACAACGCCAGCAAGTTGTTCCGATTAGATTCTTCTACTGATGATAAATTGACGCTATTTTCTCCGATAAATATTAGATAAATTTCCTGCATCATTCGACAAATTAAAGGACGAAAATACGGATGTATTGAGGGTTGGAAAACGGAAATAAACTTTACTATAATTATTGTTAGGTAAAAGTTGTATTTTATATACAGTTGTAATAAATTTGTTGCCGTGAGTTGCTTGTATTTTTGTTAAACATAATGATAAACATATTGTTGGCTTCAAAATGTTTTTACAGCACATTGTTTGCATGCACAACCTACCCATTAAATGTGTTATAAAAGTCCGTAATTCACTGAAAAGACAGGTAACTCTGGACAGTGACCATTTTTTACGAACACTTTATCAACTTGTTTCTTGTTCTATAGATCTTCCTATCAAGAAAATCTTTGTTCTCTCCAGTAACAACGTTTTAATCACTCTCACTAGATAGCGTCACTCGCGTGTCATGGTGATTCACGGCTAACAGTGTTTGACTGTAGTTTGGATGCTTCGTGACTGTCAGTTGTTTGTCCATATAATGATGATAGGCCCCATTGTTATATGAACCCACCTTTGGGGTGGTCAGCTGTCATCCACAGAAGATCGACTCTACAAGAAGTATTGTATGGTTGGTGACTTAACTGGGGTATTAGAATGTTCCATCCTTCCATCAGTGCACTCAAATGGCTGCGGATAAAATGTTGCTGAAAATCGTGGCCTATGGTTTATTACTATAAACTGATTTCTTGTAGCAATTAGTGAAATCCATGATGTTAGCTGCCTTTTAGAAGTATACTATTAGAGCAATTATCCATCAAAATTTTGCACTCTTCTCCAGGATAAAGATGGTGCTGAATAGCTGCATAAAATAGTTTCGAGCGTTGGTAAGATGGAAGACAGATTAAAGTTTATATTAGCAAAGATGAAGAAGGTAAAAGGAAAGTGGCCCATTCAGGTGTTTTATATTTTTTATTCAAAATAGTGATCTTGACCCGATGATCTACTTTATTAAATTAGCTTTACCATTAGATAAGCATTACTGAAAACAAAAGCTAGAAATTATGTGATTGTTTCTGCTGCTTTTTATTGTTTTTCTTTTTATATTTTCAAGTCATGTTATGTGGTGAAGCTAAAGTTTGAAACATGTTGTTTTTGCTAAAACTGTAGCTGGCTTTCACTGGCTTGCTTATTTGGGAAATAGGAAATATTTAGGAAAAATTCAATAGAATTGACGAAGGACAGTGTCATACAGAAATACAGAGACCTCCATCGCGTGATATTTTTGTGTCATCTTCAAGATTTCTATAAAAATTTCGTTGATACAAGTGCGCATCAACTCATTATTTTATAAGATGTATACGTTTTCATTAATTTTGAAACTCGCGCAAGTGAAAGCCAGCTATTAGGAGTATCGTGTTGGAGCAATTTTTGTTTTTCCAAAAATATCAAAATGATATCATATACAATTTTCTCCATGACGTCACTAGAAAGTTTTGTTGCTTTTTAACAGGGCATGCGCAATAAGCACGAAAGATTTTGCATACAAGATGTCTAGTTTGTATATATTTGCATATTTATAAGATTAAGAATGCTTAGCTTTCTTTATGAAAATTGGTTACTTTTGTTGCACGTTGTATTCAGGTTATTTTTATGCACGTCACCTAAATGGCCTTGCTGTAGATCATCGGGATCATCAAAACTGATTAAAACAAAACTGATGCTGAGTATATGAAATAATGAAACAAGATAAAATGTGAAACATATTATCAATTTTCGATAAGTGTTTAGGACTTTCAGATGGAGTGTTTTAGCTGGATCCCCTGAAAAGTGTCCGAGTGTTAGTCAGTTATTCAAATTGTAAACATTGACTTTATATTTCTCGGCCTCCCGGTCTAATATAAGGAGCGCTGGCGTAAAATGCTAAGACAATAGCAGGAATTTGAATGGAACAATCGATAAAGTTTGTCCAGACCATTAGTTAAATATGCAACCATTAACCGTTTACTGATTTCAGGTGAATATACTTCGATGTCTTCGTTGTGGAATGAGCCAAAAGCGGTTTTTGTGTTGTCAATGTTCTGCTTTACAACACACAGCATTGACGCCAGCCCGGTTTATTGTAAGGGATCAGAAACTCTTTTAAAGGCACTTATACAAATTGAACGAAATTTGCTTCGAGTTACAATTGGTGACAAAGTTTTATTATATTAATAAGTACTGAGGGCGATTGATTAGTTGCACTTGATTGCACTTTTTTTGACAAAGCGAACCAATATGAAAATTATGAAATATTGATGGAGGGGTACAAAATAAGAAATGGAGTGTCTGTGTTATAAGTATGCAATTTAGCAGCAAATCTCTGCATTATGTTTATCCATTTTCCACATCTTTAAACTGAACTGCATACGACAAAGCGCGTAGACAACGATAATTGGGGGGGGGGTTCATATTCATATATGCAGGACATGCTGTGTTAGTTTCTTTTGAAATCCATTGTTTTTCACGGATTATAAAATGAATATATATGAATATATGAATATGGGCCCCCCCAATTATCGTTGTTGCTACCTGCCTGATACGACATTATTTATAATATTGAATGCATAGATCGTCCTCCGAAATCCCGCATGTTGGCTATCTTAGTTAGCTAACCGACATTCGTGGCGTTTAGTCACATTTTTCATTAACAGAGAAAGGGTACTTTCTAAAGAAAAACGTCAAAGGCATGGGAAATAATTAAAAGAAACAAAAAGACAGGCAACTGAAATACGCAGAGCAAATTCTTTCATTTTCGCTTTGTGATTACTGAATTATTTTGAACTGATTCCGATTGCCTAAAACCGTTGCTTGAACTTAAAACGCTGATTGACTTTTTCACTTTAAAGAGAAATCATTTGGACTAAGCTGAATATTTGAATTTCCCAGCAGGTCTAATCTCAATAATTAGTTAGAAAAGCCCTAGATGGCAGACGACCTTTTTGATATCAATAGTCGAATGCTGATCTATGATAAGCCAGCCGAGTCGTTGCTGTTATGTTAATTTTGTCCATTTTAAACTTATTTAATTCACAATTATTCGCCTCAAAAATATTTATAAGCTCTGATGAATATTACGACAGAAACTGAAATGTATTTTCTCTTTAGATATTTCCATTTCGAAATTAATTTCAAATGAATCTTTTATATTCTCTTTATCATGGTAATCTTCCGATGGCAAATTTATATCATGCATAATTTAAGTCAAAATTGCAAGCAAACAGTTATTAGATGCTATAAAGTGATTTTATTAAGTCATAGCTTAAATATTTTTGTTTAAGGTCGAGAAATGAAAATTGATGATATTTTAGGATCTCAAACTACTCTTCTAACTTATGCTTTCGTTTTCGTTTTCGTTTTTTTAATATACAGTTTTCATTTTAAGTAACGTAGCTTCTTTCGTTTTCGTTTGTCAATATTTAAAACTACACACAGCGCTAATCAGTTGATTGCATGTGCAAAACATAGTATTGTGCACAAGCAAGCGGCTGACTATTTCAAACAAATTTATTATAGATACGATGTCAAATTTTTCCACAGCAACTTACGTTAAACAATTAATAAAATGATACGTTCTGATCTGAGTTGAGAGATACAAAATTTAAATCTAATGTGGCGATTCGGTGTTTTTGGACGACGAATGAACCGTTTGTTGATCTATGTTTTCAAGTGAAGTCGTATAAGGTAAGAAAAAGTTGATTCATCTATCGATCTGCAATGCTAATGAGAGCATACAATTTGTTATCAGTGATGAAACCGATGTCAATTTAAGTAACATTAGGACATCAGAGGCGAAACTAGAATGTGAAGTGGGGGAGGGTGAATATTCATTTATTCAGCTCTGCCATGTTGATTTCTTTTGAAATTATATTCGCTAACACAAATCAGTCAAGCATTTATGAATATATGAATATATAACCCCCCTACTTAAGGTTCTAGTTTCCCCATGCATCTGTTTGTGTCTATATTTAATATATCTACCTAAGAACGGCATGATAACTGCGAGTCATGCTTTTAACGCCCAAATTCTTAAAACAATTATCTAAATTCTCTCGAATTTGTCGGAATGGCACTTTTAAAGTGAAAATTAAATTTATCAAAGAGTTACCATCAGCCTAATATTTAAAAGTATTTAACACAATACTTTGCCATACTAACAAACACAAGGTATGAGCAATATTTATTTAACACATCCGAATACAAAGTCCCAGCTGACAAACTAGCAGAAATAAAGATACAATGGGCTTTCGTAGAAGAGGGATTTCCAATGATAAAGCGACAGGAGGAGCCTCATCCAAGCTTTGAGCAATTAACTTCAATGGAAGAGGTGTCTTCAACAGTGTAAGGCCCAGTTTCAAACGTCACATTTTACATAAGCCGAATGCATTTTAGACGAAAGGTAATAAGGCATTTTATCCCATTTTCTTTTGTCTTTAATGCATTCGCCTCATGTAAAAAGCGACGTTTGAAACGGGCCTAAATGGGAGGATTTTATTCATGAGTTAAGCTTGTTTAGCAAGAGCTCTTATGGATTGTGTGGTAAGCAATTGCAAGATATATTTTCTAGCTATGTAGCTAGCTAATATCGCTTTCGCTTAATTTTCCGGAGTAGTCAAGACCTGTCATATTACATGCTGTACACTCGTTAACCTAAGATTTTCTTAGCAATTTCGTCTCTAAAGTGATTGGGATGTGACAAAATGTTGATATGGAGAAATGCAATTTAGTACAAATATAGAAATAAATTGCTGAAACTGAAAACACCGATTACGTTTAAAAAATAAAGAACTGGTTCAATATTACTAAAATTGATAAGTGATGTATATCAATGAGCTTGTGCTTTTTACAGGAAACGAAAAATGTATAAATGCCTTGAATATATTCCACACAAGTCATTCAACGTATACGAAAGACTACTGCTTGTCTTCTTTGGTACATTCCTTTTGATAATTCTCGGTATTTCAATCAATATGTATGGTGTAACTTCGTTTTATTGCTCAAGAGGGGTGATACCAACTACAAAAGATGAATCTTTATTGAGAAATATTGAATCCGATTGTTGGAGAAAATACAAGGAAGAGATAACAATAAACTTTCCGTTATTTCTCATCATTACTTTAAACTTCAGTATTTTTTTACTTGCGACTCTCATTTATGGATATCTAGTGAAGAATAGAGTTGAAAAATATGCTCAGCTTAATCTAAAAGAATTTGTTGATGAAAGTGATAAAGCCTTAGTTCCACAAGTTATTCAAGACACTCCTCTGTCTAGCAAAAATGCATCTCGCTTTTCCACATTTCTGATTTACATCTTTTATTTGGTTGCTCGGCATGTCATATTGTCTATATTTGTTGCCATACTTTTCTCAGCAAAGTATCCAATCGACTACTCCTGCTCATGGCATCCTAAGATGAAAGAAAACCCTTTATCAAACCACAAATTTCTATTCTCACACAACGTCACATCATTTGATTGCAAGAATCCGAAAGGTGATAAAAGCGAAACTTTGATCTGGGTTGTTGCTATTGCTAATGTCATCGTAATAATATTGACAACTTTAGAGCTGTGTTACTTAGCGTATTTAGCTTTCAATGACAGTTACATTATGACTGAGCAGGAATTTTGTATGGTTTACGTATTACGAAAACGCCAAAGTAAGTGGTTGGAAAAACTCAAACGTAAGTTTTACACGCACAAAATATTTGAAATACACGAGGATTTTGGAGATGATGCAAATTCCTGGCGAAATGTTGAGGATGTTTATGTAAACGTTGTAATGCAAGCTGAAAGACAGTTAAGAAAGTCTTACCCAGACACTTTTGAAAGGCATGAAATATTCCATTGTCATCTCAAAATTAGAAACGATGCTGTAAAAATCACACGTGCGACACAAATATTTTTGCCAGTCCAGAGTAAGAAAGATCAGTCGTATCCACGAACCATTTTAGTGATAGGAAGACCAGGAATTGGTAAAACTATGTTGACTAGAAAGCTTATGCACGAATGGAAGAACAATTTAGACAAATTCTGGACTGATAAAATTGTTCTTTTAATGCGATGTCGTACGTTTAAAGAAGACGACATCACTATCAAAGAAATGCTAGGTGATTGTGATGGGTACTCTGTTGGGCAGTTTGCACAAATTTATGATTTTGTACTGTTAAATCCTGATAAAACTGTACTTATTTTTGACGGTTTTGATGAACTTGCTCTTGACAACGAACGTCTTAGAACTGATGGCTCATTGTGTGTTAATGCAAAAATGCCAGCGTTTACACTACTGAGTATGTTACTTGAAGGAAGATTGCTGCCTGGTGTTACTGTTTCTATAACATCGCGGCCTACAGCGCAACGTGCCTTTGAACTACTAAAGTTTCAAAGGACTGTGGAGATCCTGGGATTTTTTGAGGATCAGATTAAGGAATATGTTTTCAAGTTTTGTCGGAAAGACAAGAGTACTGCTAGAAAGATTTTCGATTGCATTGACAGTTCTCTAGAACTTCGGAGCTTGTGTTATATTCCCGTTAACTGTTACATCCTTTGCCTGACCTTGAAGGAAAGCTTCATCAATAATGCTGAGGATATTCCAAAGACTATCACCGAATTATACAAAAGAGTGGTGAAAATCTTACTCTGGAGACACCACCCACGCTGCAAATCAGGATCAATACCGAAGCCAGACAGGGGTTATCTTATAAAGCCTTTACCAAGCGAGCTTGATGATGAAATACAGAAGATGAAAAGCCTTGCAAAAAAAGGAATGGAAGAAGGGAAATTGATTTTTGATGAAACACACCTTACAGGCTTTGAAAATCTAGTGAATTGTGGTTTACTTCACCAAATACCAGACAAAAGACGTAATTATTTTTGTTTTCTTCATTTGACTCTTCAAGAGTTTCTTGCTGCATGGTGCGTTGTTGACGACTGGAAAAACATTGGAAAGTTTTTGGATGATCGTCGGGCAGATCCTAAATGGCATTTGGTGATAGAGTTTGTTGCTGGTTTAGTTGGCGACACAAAGAAAGAGAATAAAAGATTGAATATCGATGATGTTCAAATGAGGTATAGCGTTATTTTGACTTTTTAGAGTTATAATTTGCCAATATGTTTTAGAAATTTTCATTTATAATTCCTCTTGATCATTTATGAAAATTTGGTTTCACGCTTTAGCTTTATTAGCATGAAATTATGGATTATTTAAAATTAAATGATAGTATTAAAAATTGCATCTTGATTGTTATTAGATTTAAATTGATAACGCATTTTTGGTATTAGGTTATTTTGTTTAAAGTTATACATGTGAAAAACATTTGTTTTGAGTAGCTCTAAAATACAAGAAATTTTTCAAAGTATGCAGAAATCAATTTATAAAACGTTAAACCTGTATGTAATAGAAAACTCAATGCTCGTAAATCTAAGTTAGTTGACTGCACTGATTCTGTTATAAAGCATATTTTCTGTTTGCTTCTTTAAAATTTTAAGTTTTCAAATAAATACTTGTCTAAAGGTTTTACAACATCGCTCACATTTATCTAATGAATGTGAAACCATTTTTAAATATTTAAAGGCAATGGTCATTTTATAAATTTATAAGTTTGCTTGATATTTGCATAAGTTTTCTTCGATTTAGTATCAATGGTAAAGTTTACATAATATTAGGTTTTTAATTGAACTTGTGAATAAATTTGGATTTTAGATTGAAAATGGATCTTGCATAAATCTATACTTTGGTGCAAAACCATTGGGTTTCTTCATTCATGCCTTTACGAAATACAAGACTTTGTAATCATTCCTTTTGCTTGATTACAAATAACCACAATCTAATCCTAAGTGGGTCAAATTTGCTTGCCTAAAATATAATAAATACCTTGTGATACTTGAATAAAATATGTTGGTGTTTAAATTTCACTTTAACATAGCAAAAAGCAGTTATGTAAATTACTTTTCAATTAAGTGGGTTTATAATTACTATTTTGGTTTGTATTGGTAGTTAGTGCGAAAATTCATGGTTTTGAATAGGGTATCTTTAAGTTATGCATTGCCTTAATGTAATCAAATGTTGGTACTTTCTCTACAAATTTAAGACCATAAGTGGTGCCGTTTCTCATTAATTATAACAAAGACATGGCCTACACCCTTTGTGTCGCTTATCCAATGAAGGATTGTGTATAGTTGTAATGCTAGACTTTTTACCTTGTAGAAACAATAATAGTCTTCTGGCTTGCTGCTATCCCAGCAACAGTTGTTATGTTCGCATTGACTGTTTTACTCCCACGTAACCACAATCTATTCTGGCTTTTACTTGCAAGTACTCCTAAAATTTTTGATAGAAGGAGTTCAATAGCTATGTAACAAAGACATGCACATATGAAATCCAGTGCTAAATTTTGAAGATTCAAAGGACAAAAGCCACTTAATATGCAGTGCCCTATTTATATAAAGAACTGAGATTTGCGTTTTAAATATCTGCAGTGGAGTTAGGAGTCTCTCCATGTTGTAACATACATTGTCTTAGTTAAAAGTAAATTTAAATTGATCGATTTTGTAGCTACCTATACGTTCCCTGATTATGGTTATGATATATAAAAGAGAAGTATGAACCTGTCTGTTCATCTAGGGGGAAAATTTCGTCTTCAGCCTTGTCACGAATAAAATGACCTGGAAGGTAAATGTTATATTAGTAAAATGATCATGAGTGAATAAAAAGATTATTTATTATGAAATTAACGTGGAGGAGGTTAGAAGGAGAATGCAATTTTTTGGCCTTCATATCAACGTGAAAATGAACGCGCAGGAAGTCATCGTTGGCTGCATAGGTGCTTAATAAATACTATCTTGAAAACTGCTTTAATTCTTGTTAGTAATATTTACTCATACATACCAGATCTCACGCCATGCTCCTAAACAATATGACACTCACACTCATAACACGATGTATTATCCCACGTATGAACACGAAGTTACCAAACAAAATTAAGTACTAGCAATGCACGCATTGACTCACGTGGACACGACAGCAAGTAAAAACTTCAAAACATTGCCTTTTCTTTACTTCATATTATTTTCAAACTAAAAGGACGGATTTTTGTTGCACCCCTTATAGTCAAGCAGGCTTTCCAGACTGCCTTTGGTAAAATTTAACATACATACCAAACACGCACGCCAAACAAAGTGAAAGGATTGTGAAGAAAGCTGGTACGATCGTCTTCATAATTGTTGCTGAATCTCAAAGCTTGAACTTGAAGTGAACTGAACATACAACTGACATCCAAGGTGTCGGTTCTCTGCTTATCGTGATTTTTTATACTCTCCTGCACTAAATTTGAATTTTTAATGGCGTGAAGAGAGTTGGATTTTGGCTACGACACTCGATGAATATGGTGCTCAACAACCACTTGAATATTTGGTTTGTGTGTCTGCTTTGTTCGCATGGGCAACAATCTGCAACTGCATTGTTCATTCATTCAAATCTCCTTTGTAATGCTCAAGCATGTTGTTTTGATAATATTGATCAATTTTATGTCGGATTTATGCTTAAAAGGACATGAACAAGCTCTAATTTCGTGATCAGATACAAGTCAATTGCAATAAATTGTTTATATACCATCTTTATGCAAATAGCCAATACCTGCACAAACTTTACAATCAAAAGTGGTATAACGTCTTACTCTTCCGCCTCGAACAATTTAAAGAAAATACTCAGATTTAGTTTTAGTCAATAAGACTGTAATTCATGACATTGTTTATTCTAGCTATTTTAGGGAGACTAAAAGGAGTGGAGGTTTAGTTTGCGTCCACGCTCCTCCTTTTCTGTATTGTCTAGTATCTTCACAATGCTTGTTTATGTTTGAAACTTTTGAAGATTCCTTGCAAAGATAAAGCAATGATAGGAGCACACAAGGGTGCTGCTCGAAGGCAGCCAACCAGCACAAGATTTGATAGTTCAAATGATTTTACACGTCAAGACTCGTTCACGACGTACCGTTTTCGTTATAGGCATTTACATTTACATTTCTTAAATTTGGCCATAGACATCCACTCGCAGAGTGTGAATACTCATTTGGTGCTATGTTAATGTATGTACGCTGCAGATCTGTGCTATATCACAACAAAGTTACCATTTAAGTATATTAAACTTATTACTAGTTTTAATATGCCATGTAAGATCCTCATTAAGTCCCTTTAAAAAGTAGTAAAACATGGATGACTATACACTAGTATGTTTTCAGTTATCTTTATGATAATATTCAAATGCTCAACGCTTCGAAGAAAAATTATTTCACTACTTATGATTTTCGAATTTTACTTATTATACCATTCTTGTTTGATACATATATCACGAAAAAATGGAAACGTCCTGTTGCCTTCTACATCTAGCTGCACGTTAAAGAGATTTGACGCATGATTTGAAGCATGATTAAAGATCTTTGTGCATGCAACTGAAGAGTGTGATTTTGATACAAATATGTCATTTTAATGCTATTAATTGATAAATGAGGAGATAAAAAACTTTGCAAAACTGAGACTAGTCGCATTAGGGTATTGTGGAGTGTTTTTCACTCAGATAATCAAAAAATTTGTGAAAGTTTAAATGTTCCTTTTCAAACTATTTGCAATCCAATCCCCATAGGCTTTAATCTTGACTCTGTAATTTCATTGCATGACATATACGATCATCCCAACAAACGTAAGAACTCAATTTTAATGTATTTCCGGATATATGCAGTGCCAGAGTAAAATCTGCTGGAAAATATAAATACAGACTTGAAACAAGTACTGTTTGTGTTTGTTTTATTTGTAACTGTTTTTTAGTTCTTTTCAATATTACTGGTATTATTATTATTTTTCATTATCAGTTATGTTGTTTGGTGATGTAGATATAAGCAAAAACATTACATTAATTTACAAGTCTCTTTAACTGTGTTGCATGTAGTTTATATTTATCTACCAATGACCAGTACTTGCTAACACCCTCCATTATCTACATGAATGTCTGATCAGCTTATATCATCATTACAATAGCTACTTATGGTGACAATGTTTATGATCTTGTGCAAGAACATATCTTTAAGAAACATGCTTTTCATTCATATATGTATCGCTAAACAAATATCACAAAATACAGAATACGGCATGTGCCAGTCACGAGCCCAAAATAATCGCGTCTCTGGAAATTTGAATTTTATAACGAAGCATAAACTGGTGTTGCGTGCGCAGGAGCACGTTCTCTATTTGCTTGGCGCATGCAACAATAACGAAGTGAGGACTGAATGAATTCCAACCGCAAACTTAAGTTGTTTTTTCCGCCTTTTACTTAAGTGCTCATTTCCAAAGAAAAATATTCGACTGTTTGAAAATACTTCCTGTCAATGGTAAGAGGACAAGCAATACAGTTTATTATATATGTTTGAAGTATTCCTTGACTAGGCGACTTCGAATGAATCGATAACTTGCCATTAATTACTCAAAATTGTGATTTTTTTCAACTGATCAAATAATCTTCTACTTCACGTTTGCCCCGCTTTATTGACTACTGTCCTTCTAACAGTAGGTTCCAAACAATGAACATTAAAGTGTCCATAGTCTGTACAGACGTAGAGTAAAGCGAATGAAATCTTGATACTATCTATGTAATGTAATTTTGTACGATATAAAAGATATTAGAATAAGTTGCAAAAAGAGATCAGACTTCTACACAAGCGTCTACCTTGATATGAGATGTACACATGTGGATACCATCTGCAAAATATGGTAATCGTCCTTAAAAGAGTTTCAAACGATTTACTTAACTAAAGTAAAATAATAAAAGTCTTGGGACTTATTATTAAGAGATTTTATGTTCAAACATGCAAAAATTTAGTTTTGTTGCAATTAAGGAACGGAAGTAAATTGATCAACACAGATTCGATGAATACGTTTGGAAGTGAAAGGAAATGTCTAGTTGGAATACATTATGAAAGTATCTTAGATAATCTACATCATTGATCGATACAATATATGAGAGCTGTTACATTTTGAGCAGAAAAAAGTCTGGCCTCCAAATAGAAGACACTTTATACCGATGACAATCCCAATATTGCATCTTCAGCCGCCTCCAAAGCTTTTTGGATACCTAAAGCATGCGATGCTACTTACCATTTTTGACATGGAATGGGTAGAGCTACAAAGAAAAACGAAAACAGTAAAAGTTCCCGACAATGCTCAACAACGTAGTCTATGTAAATCTGCTGTAACTCGTACAACAGGCGGTGAGTTATATGCGAACATCCGACGATACTTCAATAATGTCAATGAATTAGACACAATAAATTGATTGGTCTATTGCTGTGTTTGCATATCCTGTGCAAAGCTGATTATAAACTAACCAATTAAATCAATCAATTAATTAAAGAGAATTTGCAAATCAATCATTTACAAATTATAGAGGAAAAGTTAAAACGCTTTTTTTGATTTTTTTTGTTTCGAATTGTTATTTATATGCTTTTAAGTTCTCCCATGCAAAGGTCTGCGAAAAAGCCTTTGCAGACACAGTCAACATCTTTTATTTCTTAAACAATATATGACAAACTTTTCTTGTCGTCTTCACTTTTTCCACATTTACTTTTCGCACTGAACTCGTATGAAAGTTCGATTGTTGAGGTAGAAAGAAAGAAAAATATCTTTGCCCATACACTAAATGTTTGAAGTGTTTATTGCGTACATTATTGATGCAAAATGCAAACCAACCTGAAATAGATTCCTGCTATCGTAGCAGGTTGTATATTCTTTATATTAAAAGGCAATGAAGTTTTTCGACGTCAGAAACAAAATGAAATTGTTAGGCTTTGCAGAACAGTTAAGCTTTTAAAGCAAATGAAGATGTCGTGATGAGCGAATCCGGTATAGTGTAAATGCAGCCTAAAGAGCCCGTTGTTGCACCACGGCAACAATCACCAAATGAAATGTGTGCAAACTCTTAAAAAAGGTCCGGGTCCTAGAGGGCTAAGAAAGAAAGATGTTACCCAGAGGGGATTTAAGAGTCAATTTTTGCTTTCATAAATTAGTGACCAAAGAATAGTGCTACAAAAGAGAAAAGTGCTGGTGTGCTTTGCACAAAACCCATTTGACCACAGAATAGTTCAAGTGTAGAATGAGGAAGGATGTACTTAATTAAAGTTTTACAGCGTTGTTGGCTCAGCACAGTAATATTAATTCAGAAACTTTTACGAGTAATTTTCTGCCGCAATTATCGTAAGCAGATTACTCATTAGGCCAAGCCTACAGGTCGCGGCTTTTGAGAGGCTGTTGTATCTAGACATAGTTAGTTTTTAATTTTTTCCACTGCGTAATACTTAAATGTCTTTACTTGACCATTTGTGCTGTTATAAACTTTACGATCTACTGTTCAAATGCAGACGCTCAGAACTCATGAATTTGTGGATCTTCCCAGTTTGAGTTTTAAATTTATTTCTTCTTGTCGATACTTTGAGTTACAAAAATAAGCTGGGAAATGCAAAGGCATGGAGCGCAAGGAACTCAAATGCCATCTAAAAACTGAGCTTAGTCGGGGGATTAGTTATCTGATTTAAAGAACAAAAATTTTATCTTTGTCTACAGGCCTTGTAATTAGTAATCCGCCACTAGTTTCTATAAGGTACTTAAAACTTAAAATTTTTCTTTTCCGCAACTGTATATAAACACATTTAGTGTATAAATTTAATTGCTTAATGTAACAGCATGCACCTTAATTTCGGATTCATTTCTTTGTTTTGTGATATGTCGATGTGGACATAACGAAACTATAATGCAAATTACGTTTTGTTATTCTCTGTCAACATCCGTTTATCAAATATCGAGAGAAAGCTGCTAATTTCAAACATGTCGCCTTGCCTTGCTCAAAATTCACGACAATATAATTGATTCTCTGCGTTTCAACGATTTTGGCCCGATGAATTAATTGGGAGACTTATACAAATGGCTTCTTGCCCAAATAATCAACAATGTAGAGACGAAGACTTGACAAATAATACCGCTGTTAACAAAACCTCTGACCATCCAAATCGCTACAACGTCGTAAAAGATGACGAAATATCCCTGGAAAATTGTTATGACAGTCAATGTTTTCCTGAATTTACGAATGTTAAAGTGGTTCCTACAATGTTGTACTCAAAGCAATGTTATTTTCATGGGAAAAGCAAACGAGACAAGATTGGACATGAGCCTTAGTTGGATGAAATAAACCATATTATTTCTAATGACTTAAATACACGTGAGTCGATTGAATAAGAAAGAACATCAAGACAGGATTGAATTAAATCCAAATCTCGTCGAAT